ATAGCAAGCCAGAAATAGGCTGGGATCCTAAAGCGATCTCCGGGCTTCCCTCCAAGCTCCAGGAACATAGGTCGGACGGCAACTCTACCGACCGGCCTTGAAGTCCAAATCCGGTTCTTCGGCCGTGGTCGAACGATCATGGGTCGGACAGGGCTGTCCCGGTCCTGTGGGTGCCGCATGTTACCCAGCAATTTTACCATGGCTCTTTGTTGCTGCACGGTTGACGACTGGGGCGAAACCAACCCGGTGGAAGCGATGCGAATACTATGTATGGAAGCAATGTGCGTAGGTACATGGAAATTTTACATGGTGCGCCCTCTTCTAATAAGCAGGTACTCGGCTGGCGCCTACAGGGTGATGATATGGATATCATCTTTGTCATCGGCGTCGCTTGTCGCCGAAAGGCCGCTGGTTCTCATCGACCACACAAAAGGCTGTTGTATTACCACACTCGGACAGGTCTTGCCGGAATGGCACAGTTCTTCCACGAGTCAAGACGATATATCATTGAAGCAGGTAGGCATTGCTACCGTAGCAGCGTATGCCGCTTGTCTTCCGCACGGCCATTGGCCCAGGTGAGCTTTCGATCAGGACCAGGACGGATCTTCCATGTTTCTCTGCGGTGCTTAGGACGTTCGCGAATGCTGCCGACCAGCACGGCACGGCTTGCGTCAAGGGTATCTGCCATTTGATCCGGCCGCGCTGGTGGTAGCGCAACTAGGATAGCGTGCGTAGGTCGAGAGGGTGAGGGTCCAATGCAAAAAGGCATTCAAGGGTGAAAGGGTGCGAGTACCTTGTAATCGACAACTGCTGCCTCACTACCTATTAGTATGCAAGTATCCTTGCGAGGAACCTGATACGAAAACGATCAATGCTTGCGCGACCGCAGCTGCAGGAAGAGTTGAGAAATAAACGTGTATGGGACCTGACGACAAGACGGGGAGATTCGGCTCTGCTGGGCCATTGTAAGAAGCTTGGCCACACGGGCAGCACTTCTGTTGGTTGGAGCCTATCTGAGCTTTCCGACCCCAAAGCAAGCAAGAAAGCCAGCAGCCAGTCAGCCGCCAGCCAGGCAGGGAAGTCGGGTTTAACTGCTGCCGCCTTGACCTGCAGTAGGTCGATGCAGAAGAGGATTCCTCGATCGGGCTTGGCTCATCTGCACCTTTAACAAAAGGATAGGATGAGAAGCAAAATTGGGCAGTCTTTGTACAGAAAAGGGCATTCGCGACTGGACAGGAGAATTGAGGTCAAGATGATGTGGATTGTGTCGAGCGATTCTCAGCCCCGAGGCGTCTTTAGCGTAGCACCTTGCGCAGCCCGCGTCAGGGGCAGGAGCCGCCCAAACCTTCTACACAGATTGTACCTACCGTAGTATATGACCATAGACGATGTTTATGTCTAGAAGTACATTTCCTGGTACATCAGTCGAGTCGGTCAGTCTGATTAAAGTAGTACATCAATACGTGGAACCAATGGTGACGGCAATTGGCAGGATCACCGTGAGATCCCGTCGTCCAGAGAACATTATTTGCGAGGCGTGCAAGTCTGCAATCAACATTTGTTATAACTCAACGATCGGCCTTCACACCCAGCATTTGAAATCAAAGATACTATCATCGGCGCTCTGGTGCTATCATGTTGCTGGCTGAACAGGCCAACATACGGAAGAATGTGCACTTGCCAATATACTATAGAGTATTAGTATGCGGGGATGCTTATACACCAATATATAGATACGAGCATTTTATACCAGCAACCTTGCATATCTATAGTGACTGCATGCTCTCTTTGGTGGCAATACAGGGCTCAGCTCTGGTAGTGAAGAAAAGAAACGTTTTCTAGATCTCCCGGTTTGATCTTGCGTCAAGATCACCAACCGTCATGACAGGTGACCCTGCATTTCGTTCAACTTCACGGCACGACATGCATGTTCTGCGTTCCTGGACGGCCTGGTCTGTCTGCTATACCTGGCCGTCTGCAACATTTTCAACAAGGGCGGCCAGCGAGAATCAGCAAAGGACCAAGGGCTGTCTCTAGTGACACAGAGGGATGGATGCGTCGATCAAGGAAAGAGAAGGAAAGAAACCGCCATGGCTTTCCTGCCGGCTCCCTCGTGAAGCCAGGTCTCTTGCTTTCTTTTTCTCGGCAACGCCAGCTGAGAAGTTGAAGCTGAGGTTACGCACACCTGAACCCCCAAGGGCGCACAGCATACAGGACATGACAGGACAGGACAGACACAGACCCCACGATAACTCGATTTCGCTCGCCGTGCACCTGAGGGGCCAAGATGGGTACATTGTACAGTGTACAGAGTACAGCAAGTAGAGTCGAGAGGAGAGAGACACCGGGGGTTAGGTAGCGAACCTTTTTTTTTTTGGTCCCCCTCTTGTCCCTCCCCTTCCCTTGGGCGCCGCTTGCCCGCCCATCGTGGCACCCTCGTAGATCCACTACATGACCCAGCCAAGCCAGCTAGGTTGGAAGTTTGGGGCAAGCAGAGGGAAACACTGGTATCGTGGCCAATGGGCAAGAGAAACTCCGCAATACAGTGAGTGTAATCGCCGTACACATGGCCATCCTGGAAGAAAAAAATTACATCGTTACCGCTCATTTAGAGCAGCGATTGGCGATGCATTCTGTCAATCGCTGCTCATCGTACTTCAGCACTGGTGGATCAAAGGTTTTCTTCTTCTTTGCTGCTCTACGGTGACGCGACACGTCCAGAGGCTCGTAACATGATGTATGTGGCCCTCTTTTCAACCGGGTGAGATTTGCCGACATCAGCGACACGGGACAGAAAGGTTTTTTTTCTTTTCTTTCTTTCTTCTAAAGCACAGCACTCACTGGTGTATGTTCGTATGTAGGTAGACGCGCAGCTACGTGACCAGGTACGTACTACACACACCTGTATATGTAATATGCAGGTAGGTAGATAGGTAGGCAGGCAGGCAAGGAAGTAAAAGTATGATGTGTGTGTGTGTGTGTGTGTGGACACAAATGAAGAGACATACATGAACAGAAGCGATAGGATGCTTTCGCGAGCCTTGCAGCCATGACTGAACCGCCTGAACCGCCGCAACTTAGGAGTTTTTCTCTCTCTCTTCCTTTTTGTGTGCGTATCGGTCGGTAGAGGTGTGTATGTGCGTGTGCTTGTGTGATGTCTTTCAGCTTCATCGTCGTGCAGGGGCCAATTCCCCCTTCCCCTCCCAAAAGTGAGCGCTGAAGCAGGACAATGTCAGCGCATTGTTTCTGACTGTACTACTTCGTATGTTATGATTTAAGTAAATATAGGTCAATGCAGATATGATTGATGCTCTTTTCTTAGTGTTGTGTCTACATTGAGGTGTATCTATTCGTAGATTATGTACGATCTATTACGGATATTGGCAACATACCTATCTAGGTTACCTACATTACCTACCAGACGCAGCCGGTCAACTTGAAAGATGAGATGAACCCCGCGAGTACCAAACCGTCTAGCGAACCGCCCCCCTTACCGAAGTTGGGAATGTCTAGTACACTCAATGTAAGGTAGGTACCGGTGGCCATGTTTAGCGCGCACTTTTGACATGAAGTGCGGAGCGCCGGAGGGGTGTTGTCACTTTCCGCGAACACTGGGGCCCTTCAAGTTCACTCATTAGGTTTCTCCTCTGTGCTGGGCCCTGGTGTCGTTCGTTGTCGTAGCCGCTTTGGCTTTTTTCTCCCCTCTCTCTGTGTCTCCCCTTACCTGAGTGGCCCCCCTCCTCTCTGCTGCAAGGGTCAACCGTCTTAACCAATTTCGCTCAGGGCACACTGCTAATCTGTGCTGGGGCCCATCTGCACCCAATCTCCCAGCTCCCGCCCGGGTACCGCTAAGGTACATCCATCTAGTACACTACTTCCTGTCGGTTCTTGGGCTCTTGTCTCTAGATTTCTTCTCTCTCCAGTCTCTGCAGCATCCACCCTACACTTACCTTACCTGAAGACCCCTGTATGTTCTCTGCCTTAGTACCTCTCTAGGTACCCTACAGCACACCGGACAGCGCAAGCACCACCAAAAAACCACCAGCACAGAGACTTGCGTGCACCCTTGGCACAGTCCAGCCTAGTCCAATTCACTACCTACCCAGTCCACTTGGGGTGTACCTTGGGTGGCTTACCCTGGCACAAGGCCAACCCAGAAAGAGATTCTCTCATCACTCTTTTCGTCAACGAGGTTGCGCACAAAAAATCCCTGGAGGTTTCCTTCCCTTCCCCCCCCCCCCCCCCGGGTCGTCAATCTTCCCACGCCCAGCTTCGGGTTCACCAACAGGGGTCACCCTCGCCCGCCTTTTTTTTCTGCTTGCGCTGCTGTCCAGCGGCTCCCTTGCTGTCTTTCTCGATCCAGGACGGGCGGCCCACATACTGCTGGCTACGTCCGACTAACTTAGTACTTCTCTACACGTCCACCCCCCTCTTCCTTCCGTTTCCTCTCTCGCGCTCCTTGTGTTGTTTTTTTGAAACATCCCGACTTTAGCTGTCTCTACTCGAGATCAAGAGTCTACGGCTCGCTCCTAAGTGAGGTCTGTCTCACCTACGCTTGGTAACAGTGCCCTCAGCATCATCTCATCTCTTATACCGGCTTTGCCTCCTCTCGAACGGTTGACGGCCGCGCAACTCTTCTCACGCCCTCCTGCAGTATCAACAGGCACTGCCGCCGACACGCTCTTTACAGACGTCTTTCTGTCTTTATTTGGTTTATTTTGCTGGATCCTTACGCCGCCGACTACAGTCATTCTTTACGACAATATCTCACACCATTCGCTTTCGCTGTACAGAAAGATAATTTTTGGAGGGTATACGCCCATCCACGCCCGGATCCCATTCGCCAACACGACTTGGCTTAGACAAAACCGAAACAACCCAACAATCGCTTTGCGCTGCATTTGCTAAGCTTTGTTTCTAATCATCGCCTGAGTCGGTTTTCCACTCCATATACTTTGAAATTTTTGCAGCGCCTTTATCTTGGTTAGCGACATCTCAAGATGGATATCCCGTACTGCGGTCCGTCAGGCTTCCCTGTCTTTGGTTTCGGACCTGGACAGGGATCTGCTATGCATTACCAGGACGGCCAGTACACTGTGTACCCCAGCTTCCCTAATCTGCAGTACATGTATGCCGCGCAACAACAGCCAAATGATTATCCTACCGACCGCAACGCCCTCGGCGACGGCAAGGCTGAATCCAAACCGAGGCTATCCAAGGATGAAGTTGAGAGATTGGAAAAGATTTTCCAGGAAAACCCAAAGCCATCCAGCTCGGTCAAGGCACAACTTGCCGAGGAACTTGGACTGGAGCGTCCCAGAATCAATGTACTTAGTCCCAACTCCCCTATGTCTCACCTGTTACTAATACCTTTGGCAGAACTGGTTTCAGAACAGGAGGGCCAAGGCAAAGCAGGAAAGGAAGCAAGAGGAGTACGAAGCGCGCCGCGCTGCAGAAAATGGCGATTCGGAGTCTAGGTCGCCAATTACAGAAACCTCGAGTGGCGTAGCAGAGCTATTCGATCAAGAAGACCATGAGCGGGCGAAGCCTTCTTCGGCACCGTTTCCCAATTTGGATGCAACCACAAACTCCACACCGTCTGTGGACAATGAGGACGATGGCGAGGACGACGTCGCCAGTCACTCTGAACAGTTTGGCTCGCCTTATGCGGCCCACTCAACAACCTCTCACCTGGAAAGCGCAGCAGGCGAGCTGCAGTCTCCGCTCTCGGTGAGCCTGCCACCGTCAGAGAATGTCGGTTTCTCTTACCCGCATGTCAACCAGGCATTCGGTGCTGCGGAAGCCATGCAAAACTATGCGTCCTTCAGTCTACAAGACGGTCAGCAGGCCAAAGACCTCAGCCTCAACCACGGCGTAGAGAATGTTGAGCACGGTCTACCTTCTCCAGAGGAAAACATTGTGGATACTCAGTATCAGAGCAATCAATACCTCGAGTTGGTTGGACCCAGCTATCCACCCTCGGCCTTGCCATATTATCAATCTCATCCCATTATGGAGGACGAAGTCAAGCAGGACCATGAAACAGAGGAGCAGGATGGTTTCGCTGGCACATTCCACTCTGAGCATGTTGGCATGTCACTTCCCCAAGATGGCTCGACTATTGGCAATTCCTTCAAGGCACCTCCGCCTCCAGCCAACATTGCATCGCGCCGAAACATTCCGAGGCCAGCTGCCCTGACTGTTGCGACCCCACGCAGTCGTTCCTATAACCTGGGACCCAAGACGGGAATGGACAATTACAGACGAGCAGACCCTACCAGTCCTGCTACAGCCATGCGCAGAATCGCCTCGGCTGGTGGAAATATGGCTGGGAGAATCCAGAAACAGGCCACTGGGCCGCGATCCCCTCTGTTCCTGAACCGCAACACGGAAGCATACCTGCAGTTTAGGTCACCGGTCTTCAATGCGGCATTCACCGGCGCCACTCCGCCAACGCCCATGACACCGGCTATCATGAGCCAGGGTAGACGCGAGCCAGCTGTATCTTCCACCTGTTCTGACGACGATTCTTTCATGCTTGGCCACGGCATGGACTCCCTGAAGACTCCCCCGGAGACGCCTGGCGTCATGGGTGTCCTTGGTACCGCCTTTAACCATCATGCCTTCAACACTGGCATGGACTTTGCTGCTGAGCAGCCGCTATTGACACCCGGCTTGCCATCAGAAATGCCCGATCTTAGCATGCGACACATGCCAAGCTACGTGGAGATGGGTGATGCCAGCCTCCCCACGACACCGCTGTACCCCAACATGATGTCTTCGATGGCACAAGACCCAAACAGTCTTGTCGCTGCGGTATCGGGGAATGCCCAGTTCGACTGGGACGCGAATGAATCTATCAATTCGTCGAGATCCTCTCCGGGTCAGCCAAGGTCCCGACAGATTCAGTTCACTCCCAACATGACACCCCAGGACTATAACACTGTCCCATAGGAGTGGATGCAGTGATTGTTGGACTGCCAGGGCTGGTAAACACGCGTAGCAGTACACCTGTGAGCGCTGGCCACGCAGATCCTTCCAACGACACTTGTCACCAATTCATCGGCATTGCCCATGTCAGTGTTGATTGTATCAATAATCCACTTTCGTCCTTGCATTATCTGCTTTCCCAGCGTCTGCATTTCCCACAGCGACACGGCATTGTTTATTCAAAAGCGAGATATACAATACCTCATTAATATAATGAACCCATTTCTTGCCAGGGTTCTGAGAATTAGGCGGGATTGATGATACCCCATCGGTCGAACGGGGTAAAAGGGGGGGCTGATGGCAAAGGAGGACAGGCTTCGGCGCCGCTCTGAACGTGTGCCTGACCCCGCTATCGACGGACTTTCGATTCTAACACTGTTGTTCAATACCCACAACTTGATTTTTCCTTATTTCCTTCTAATTCGTTTCATGTCTTTGGCGCTTGGGGAGGGAGGAGGAAAGCCTTGGATAGGACTCGGCCGTGTTACGATCAAAACGTTATGATGGGTCGATTGCGCATTGTCGTATCGAGGAGTTAATCATACATTGGGAGGGCGGGCATATACTGCGGTCTGTAAAGTACAGTGAGAAACCGGACAGAAACCATGGCGCAAAGCAGAATCTACTCATATATATAACGGAGAGAAATCAAAATGTATTACATGATTAAATGGCGGGCATTTTCTTGTATTATTGTGCTTGCCGATTGGACATTGGCATGTCGTCTTATTGGTTGTCATTCCGTGACTAGTAGTCGAGGAATGCCATACCAAGACAAAGATGGCGCGACTATTATACTATTGCCTGCCTACCCACCCACCCACACCTGGGTTAGTATAGGTATGTGACGAGTGCGGACACAGCTGTGTAACTAGGTATGTAACCATGACCAGTAACAGCCATCCCTTAGTTGACAAACGAGGCTTAACGTCTCTTTTGCTTAGAAATACTATATCCATGATCGATATGTCTGGTGTCCAAACATTTCCCTTTGGGTATAATGTCCGCGGGCCACCTTTACACCGCTCCACGATTCGACACAGCTGTTGGACGCGTCTCGATCCCTCACCTTGGACATGGACATCGGAGGCAGATGAGCTTGTCAGCCGAGGTCGAGAGCCGAACGTCCAGATTTGGTTTGGCTGGGAAGTCCCAGAGCCGCCGCCGGCAAGGTGCCAAGCACTTGAGGAGTCCACCCTGTTTTTTTTTTCGGTGCCCATCATGGACGAAAGAAAGTGTCACTTGATTTAATTCCCTTGCAAGAAAGAAGAAAAAAACCACGCTCCCCTCCCTCCCCTTTCAGACCCTGGCCATGATACAATAGGTAGGGTTACCAAAATGCTGGGAAAACTCCGGGACCTCGATGCATCCATCCAATTACTAGGTAGACAGGCTCGTGGCCCTCGGCTCTTTACCAACAAGTCGGGAAATGCAACGACAACAGGCTTTCCCCACATTTGGACACAATCAAGTTGTTTATTACCCCATGCATTGATTTTATATGTGCGTATCCACTTCCGAAGCTGCTTTGTAACAGTAGTAGTAGTAGTAGTAATGTCGACAGAGATCCCTGCGTGATGTCTGTCCATGCAAGCAAGTCCAAAAAGTTGACCCGCTGCCATGCCCCCGACGCCGGCAACTGCCATGACGGCCGCCTATGACGATGCAGCCAGCGCCCGATACCTAGACTATCTACACCACCTACACTTGGGCACTTCGGAGAGAATCCAATTCTCCTTCACAACGTCACCGTGCTCACCCAAAGAAGCGCTGGATCTCTTTCGCGCCCCGCACTCGCCCGAGCCACCCCCCAGATGGACGCTTGACCTTGCCCAAAGTGGTCCAATCCGGCTCAAACCCCAGCTCCCTCTACCCCAGATTTCTCCAAAGGTACCCATGAAAGGACCGATTATTTCTGCACCTATAGAGGCTGAAAGACTCAGAGGGTGAAGGCTGCGGCCTTGGGCACGACTCGTTGTCCGCCTGGGAGCCAATTTCCGGCCGGCAAAGACCAAGGCCAAGACGGGGGTGGACTGGACTTGGACTGGGACTAGACGATGATGAGAGCATACGGGGCCATGGTCCAGGACAAGCACGGCGGAGGAGAAGAGGAGGAGGAGAAGAAGCAAGAGACAGAGGTAGATAAAAAGGCGCACGTTGTCCAGGCGAAGCTGCCATATGATTCTGGCCCCAAGGTGGTGTTTTCTGCTCATCGCTCACAGCCGCTTGTGTCTGCTGCTGCTACCGCCTCTATCTGCTGCCGAGTCTCTTGCTCCCTTGCTTTGCTTTGGATCTTTTTCAAAATGGTTCTTCTCCCGTTACTTGCGGCGTGCTCACTATACGTCGGCTCCGCCGTCTCTGTCCCCGTAGCGGACGTGTACGATACTTTGGAAGCTCCTGTGGTCACTGTCAAGAACGGCACATACTCTGGTATTTACAGTGATGAGTATGACCAGGATTTTTTTCTTGGCATGCCCTATGCCCAGGTATGTACTATACATAGCAAAGACTTGTCAGAGGCCACACCCATGGCCAACTTTACTCGACTGTGATACTAACCCATATTCGCTGTCTCTAGCAAGCTGTACGCTTTGCTGTTCCCGAGTCCCTAAACACAACATGGGATGACACCAGAGAAGCTACTGCCTACCCGCCCCATTGTATTGGCTACGGCAGCGATGATATTGGCTATGCCCTATCTGAAGACTGCCTGTATCTGAATGTAGTGAGGCCTGCCGGTCTGAACAACACTTCGGATCTGCCAGTGGCCGTATGGATCCATGGCGGAGGTCTCTACATGGGCGGCTCTGCTGACAGGAGATACAACCTGAGCTTCATTGTGGAAAACTCGGTGAACCAAGGGACTCCCATTGTTGCAGTGAGCTTGAACTACAGGCTGGCTGCTTTCGGCTTCCTGAGCGGAAAGGAGGCTCTCGATGCTGGCGTCACCAACATTGGATTCCGTGATCAGCGGCTCGCTCTCCACTGGGTCAATGAGAACATTGCGGCTTTTGGCGGTTCTCCTGACAAGGTCACCATCTTTGGCGAGAGTTCTGGAGCCGAGTCAGTCAGTGCACAAGTTCTGGCTTACAACGGTATGTGTAATCCGCCCGGTGTATACAATTTCCGCAGTACTGACTCTTTGTAGGTCGCGATGATGGTTTGTTCCGTGGAGCCATTGGTGAGTCTGGCTTTGGAGGTATCCTCACACGATACAGTGGCGGTCTGAACCGTACCGATGCACAGCAGGAGACCTTTGACAACCTCGTCAAAAACACGTCGTGCGCCTCGACCGTAGGAACCCCCGAGGCAATCACTTGTCTCCGGGCTGCTCCCTTTGACGAGATCAACACGGCCCTGAATGTCACTGGAGTCGGCCCTTGGCCTCCGGCGCTGGACTATGACTTCATTGCGGATTTCCCAACGAACCAGCTGGAAAGCGGCAACTTTGTACAGGTCCCCATCCTCATCGGTGCCAACACTGACGAGGGCTCTGCCTTTGGAGCTGGCCGCGGTCCCACTGGACCCGTGAACACGGACTCTGACTTTGCCTATGCCGTCAACAACATGCTGACTCCAGACGTGGTCAACACCACTGGCAAGTCTGCTGAAGAGATTGTGCATGAGATTTCGCTCCTGTACCCCAACATTCAGAGCATTGGCATCCCGTCCCTTGAGTCGTGGCCCGAGGTCATCACCAATGCAACCGAGGGCGTCGAGTCTATTGGTGTACAGTCTCGCCGCATCAACGCTCTAGCCGGCGACACCTCATTCCACTACGCACGCAGACGTGCTAATATTGCTTGGAGCGACGCGGGAATCAAGTCGTACTCTTACCGCTTCGACGTGACCGTGAATGGCATCTCAGAGAGCATTTCAGCGACGCACTTTCAAGAGGTAAGAACAAGAACATGCTTCCATGACGTTTCAAGTCACTTTTGGCCAAATTGTAGAACCTTGCTGACAACCGTGAACTTAGGTCGCCTTTGTCTTTTACAACCTCAACGGCGACGGCTACGCCACCAACCCCTTTGGCAACACGACGCAGGCCTACAAGGACCTGGCGCTCACCATGTCGTCGGCGTGGGTCAACTTCTTTGTTGACCTGGACCCCAACGGCGCCGCCGTGAGCCCCGCGTGGCCCGCTTACAACACCAGCGCCGGCGGAGGTGTCGGCCAGAACATTGTCTGGAGCGTCCGCGGCGATGGCAGCTACATTGAGTGGGATGACTACCGTGCCGAGGGCATGAAGTATCTTGCCGACAATGCGTTGGAGCTGTTTGGAAATTAAGAGAGATCTTTTTTCCCCGTGTTTTTTATCGTCAATAGTGAGCGCTTTGCGTTGGAAAATATGTTTGTGTTGTATACATATCTAGGAACATGTCATAATAGCGTAATTCAATGACTATAGCATTACCGACTGCCGCTAATTTTGCCCCATTCCACACACAGACTCGTATTTGTTACACGGTTTCTTCAGCAGAAATAAACCAAATACTCATGAGTCTAAGCCATTGAATCCGCCTTACTTTGCGATGCTGCTGAGCATTGTGAGAAGAGAATGGAAAATCGTCCAAGTTCGCTTACATTGTGCTGAGTCACGCAAGAAAAAAAAACACACATCCCCAAGTGAGCAAGAGGCAGAGAACTCACAATTCTTCCTCGCCGCCTGATCTTTCATGATTTGCCGTGACAACATCCCGAATGACACCAAAATCTTTCTTGTCAGCCTAGGTATACAACCCGACGTTCATCCCATGACAGATGTTCCCGTAGGCTTTTCGGTTGCATCCGGGTGTGGATACATTCTGTATGGTCTCAATCTGGACGGGAAGGGGACGGTTTCGGCTCCGGAGGAAACGGTCGTATTCATGAGTGTTACCTACCCCAGTTTCCCGCTTGGAGAAGCTTTTTTTCCCTCGTTTTCTATTTCGGGACAGACTCTTATGGAGCCGGACGGCTTTCAGGGGAAACGACAGAACCCAATCAGACCGATGGGGTTTCCGAAAGAGGCAAGAATTCCGTTCATACCAAGAGACATGTGTCAGTGTTGATGTAGTATACCGCCTATCATGATGGTCAATACGAGTTTTTCGAGTGTTACACTTTGTCCTTGGCTTTCAGGCATGAACACAACTGATGATACCATTGAATATTGTAACATATATTTTGGAGTAGTGATATGTGTTCTCTTTGCGGGAAATGTATATCCGGTTTCTCTCCAACGGGGAAGAACTTCGGGTAGATTGACGGCCTTGGCGGTAGGACTTTTATTCAGTCCCGAATCCAATGAACATGCCAGATGGTCGCGAAAGGGTTTTGGCGGCACGCAAAAGCATGAATAAAAAGGATGTCGCGTGTTAGGAAGAATTTGCCTGGTTTCTAGAACTCATCACAGGAAATGCTGTCGCGCAAGCAGGCAGAAAAGATGCCATCCATAATAACTTGACACGAACTACAAAGTTTCATTTCCCATCGGGCCCCTAATAGAGAATATCTCGTTATATTCCTCGGAGACTTGAAAGAGATTATCTGCTTGTTAAACTTTCATCAAAATCTTTTAGTCGAAGTCGGGACAATGCAAAGAGCGTCTGGCGGTATGGGATGTTGCCGCTGGCATTCAGATGCAGCACTATGGGGCAACCAAAGACAACTTGAAGCGGACAAGCATATACAAGGTAGTGAGATGAGTAATAACTTTGCACTACAGAGCATGAAGGAAATCCATTCCAACCCTTGTAGTATGTTTTCTGAACCTTGTGCACTTTATAAGAACGCGGCGAGAACACTCGGTGAGAAAAAGAAAGAAAAGTCGAGTGAGTCTGTTGATGCCGCTCGCAAATACGGAACCGGTCTTTGAGCGTCCAGATATATTTCAAACAGCTCTCCGGCCGCGCGAATCTGTTCGCTTATCGGCCCGAGAGATCGGTCTTCCTTTTCTGCGTACTAGTCGAATAGACTGGCTCTGGACCTTTACAGGCATTTACGATCTTGGTTGATGATGAAGTAAGCTCCAAAAGATGCACGTTGACCTTTTTCATGCCAATATGGAATAATGACTGCAAATCATACAGGAGGGAAGAAAGATAAAAACTAGAAGCGTCGAATGAATGGTCCTTCTTCTCATGCATCTACCGTCCATCTCAATCACACCTCGTGAGCAGTTGACAGTCTGAAAACAAATCGCTCGAGTTTGATAATAAATCAACAAGGCCATAACCAAAAAGCCAAATGAGACGGAATATCTGATCTAGATGCTGCAACACCACGAGTCTTTCTGGTGCTGCGCCACCGTTGCGTTCCTTTGAGCTTTTTCCACAAAGGCAAAAGTTTCCCTCAAATGGTAACCAAAAAGCTTTCACAATGCAGGAGAGACGGAATGGCCCATGACGAACCAGTATACCGGCATCACGGATCTCGAACTCATACCCGAGGGTGATCCGACAAAGTCACCAGCACGGCCGCCCAGCTCCGTCGGGCGTGGGCAAGCTCGTGGACCAGGACAAGGCCCTGCGCATTGGTTAGACCAAGCCAAAGAGAGGCGAGCGTGGTTGAGACCAGGAAAGATTTTGGAATATCTTGGGCGACGGCTGTGAAGGAGGAGAGTAAGTGATTCACCGTCGGCACATCTCTCGTCTTTCCTGGATGTCCCTACTCATCAAGAATTCAAGGTCCATGGATCAGGTATCCACGAGGCTGGATAGGCTCATCTCGGAGATTCGTGATCTGCAACGCCCTCATATCAACGGCAAGACACCTGTCGACATTGTAGTGGTAAGTTCACTCCCTACGATTGGTTTGTGTCTGTCACTTATTCACAGAAAGCTTTTAAGGTTGCTCACGGACTTATCCTTCGCGCTTTTGCCAAACGATGGATGCGCTTCACTCTGGAGACACCATTACCCATGAAGATGTCGCCAAGCACGATAGTAGCGCTCAGGTACGTACAAACCTGGGCTTCTTATTCCAATGTGGAATCCGGGCTCATCCATGTTGCGGCTTTTGTAAGTAGAACGAAAGTCAATGAAACCAGCCCCCTTGTATGCTCTGCTCAAAGGATTGCATGAGACGGAAATATCTGGGACGTCACTCCCGCCTCAGAGCTGAAGATGAGATGACAATGAGGAACAAATCACGATGCATGACGAGGATTGAAATGAGTTGGTCAAGATCTTTCACGAGCATGTTTATTACCAGAGCGGCTTCACGAATTGATTGGCTCTCCTGATTGACTATTTTCAATCTGATACGTGTAATCCATCTGGCTAGCCCAGTAGCCAAGGACGCTACTATCACAACCCACAATCCATCGCTCTGAATGGGCCATGTGGAATATGATATACCTAGAACGCCAAAAAAGCACAACGGACCCTCCTGTTCGCTTTGAAATGAACCGTTTGTGATGCTCCTGTTTCCTTCCCAATTTACCATGAAATGCATAACCGGTATCTGAATGTGGATGATTCCACGAATGAGAGGCAAAAAGCCGCCGCCAGTAACCCTGGAGTATAAGTGACGCCAATTTTCAATGTGATTAAAAAACCGATAAATAAACAAGCCACCAGTTTTGGTTCAAGCTTTCGTTTCGTAATCGACTACGAGCTCAAAAGGTCTTTGACGCTCATGCCTCTTGCAGGACTTGGATTGGTCATCCCCCTCCGATCATTATTGAGCATGAGTAGCGCAGCCGTGGCCTCCTGGTCGAGATCACGCTGTGGCTGCAGTGCAGGACTCGTCAGTGTAGAGTTGGACGTAGACGGTGCCGTTCTAGCGTAGCTCCACGACTGCGGCCCAAAGTTTGGAGAAATGGCCGAGGAGGCACTGTAGCTGTAGTGGCGGTGGTCTGTAGACACAGACGAATATGACCCATGTCGGTTACGAGCATCTTGTGCCAGCAGTGCTGGCGATTCCGAGGGGCGTTGCGAGCGAGACGTATAGTCGGTATATGTCGGAGATGCCGCCTCGGAGCCTGCCATCTCTACATCCCCTGATCCATCATCTGCCTGCTGTTCATCCGCCTCGTAGCTGTCTTGCCCAGCGGACGGTGGAAGGACAAACTCAGTTGGTGTGGGAGCCGAGGAATGCGGGTCTCGTTGTTCCTTGAGCTGCTTCACGCAGTCTTCAAGATAGCGTACGTACTCGATAGAGGCCTGAGTCGGAGCGCAAATGTCAGTGTACGTATAGAATCGCATGGCTTGGTTGGGGCTTTACCTGAAGGATGGCCAGCTTGTGCATTTCTCCCGTGCAGGCGGGGATCAAACCCTTGAGAACGGCGAATTCTTCATTCATCTTTGACCTCCGACGTCTCTCAATGAGGCTGTGTGCTGTCTTCCTTGCAATCTTTCGACCAGCAGCGCTGGTTGCTGATGGCTGCTTCTTTTTCGAACCCGAGGCATTGGCCTTTGTGTCCTTGGCGGGCGTCTTGACAGGAGCTGGCTCCTCTTCGGGCTCTTCCTGGGGCCGTGGCTTCATTTGTATAATCTTGCGAGATCGCGTAGGAGGTGGAGGCAAGGCAAAGGACTCCTTCTGAGCAGCCGATGAACGCCTCCTTGATTTCACCGTCTCACTGGCTTGTACAGGATAGGGTGTAAGTGGCGAAACGGCCGATGCGTCTGACTTGGCCTCGGAACTCGACGGCCGCGAGGAGCCATTGGTGCCAATAGCGGATGGTGGAAGTTCAAAGGACATTTGTAGGGCCGACAGCTTATGAAGACCGTCTTGGCTCTTCATCTCGGTCGAAGAGACCGGGGTGGGCGGCATGGCCATTCGAGGCATTTCGAAAGGCGAGTGGAGGAGGCTATGGTCTTTGGAACAGATGGGTGGTGAATGAGGGCCACTTGGCTTGCGTCACGCGAGCCGCTCGTGTGTACGGACACGTTGGATGTGTGTTATAAGTCAATGTGTCGAGGATTTTCCGAATTAGATCAGTGGCAGGGGGGATTGCTTCTGAGTTAAGGATATGCTCTGCTTGTGTGGAAAGGCAATATATAGAATGCCAAGTTGTCAGAATAGTCACGATGGCTGGGGGGCGACTAGTTTTAGGGTATAGATATAGATAGACGACAAGTTGTTGTAGGAGACGGAAGAGACTGAGAGAGAGCAGACACACGAACAATGGAAGAGAAGGAAGGAAACAAACATGCAAGATCACGCCAGAGAAAAAGAATCAAGATGGTCGGGTCTTTTTGAGATGACGACGACGTCGCAGATCGTCCACAGAAAGAGTCCGGGTGTAGAGGCACAACACACGCCTAGAAGGGAAAAACGTGCTTCTTACACAGGCGAGCGAGAAAAAGAGAAGGCGAGTCGTGCTCTTGTCCTTCTCTTTCTCTGCCTCTCGTGGTTTCGCGCTTTCTGTTTCCCTCTCTCTCCCCCCCAGTTAAAAGTCGATCATCCAGCACCAGCCAGCCAGCCAGCCAGCCAGCACACGACCAGCAGCAAGCAGCACGACCCAGACGGAAGCTGGCGAGGGGTCCATTTCAAATCTGTCGCATGCCTCACACACTTTACGCCGGGGGGGGGGGGATGAATGAGATGGTTCCTTTGACTGGAATTGAGCACGCGACAGAACGAGTGTCTGGTATTGGCTCCCTCGAAAGCTGGACGGTGGCAGACCAATGACAGCGCGCAAGAGAACCAATTGAGGCAGCAGGATCGAGCACGTGGGACTGGCAGCTCCTTAAAGAAGGGACAGGCTTGGCGCGCCTGCTCAGGGATTGATCCTCCCCCTTCCCTGTATGGGTCTAGTCTTGGCCTTATTAGTGTACCTCCAGTTGTGTAAGTCAAGTCAAAACCCAAGTCAACGGCCAGAAACAAAGTTTAAACCCCCAATTATCATTATTCCCAACGACGCATCTTTTTAGTATGTAATGCATAATAAACAGATAGTATTACAATAGCAAATGCCGAACCAGCTTGTCAGGTATTTTTGTCACCGCCTGTTCCATGCCCGGAAATAGTGAATATTATGTACAATGTCATGTACTTACAGGTAATCAGAGAGTTGAACCAGTCCCCAAGACCTCTAAGACTGAGCACGTGCCCTGATTCCTTCCCCCGAAAAAGAACGTCAAGAACCAACGACCCCCACTCTTGTTCTTGCTCGTGTGGGATGGGATCCTTTTTTTTTTTTTTTTGCATCTCCACCTGATAAACGCAACCTTATATCAACGTCGACATGCTGCAAAAGAAGCAATTCGCATGCATGCGATCACGGCCAATCTTTTGGTATTATTCCTGTCAACTATGTACTCAACATGATGGTCGACTACAATTGTTTTTGCATCTTCTCTTTGCTACATGTGTAATTTACAAAAATTGCCAATAGAAAAACAGTCATGACCACGATTTTTGCTGTCTCGAAATAACCACAGAAACTATCACGGCAGCCTTGGAAGTGCCGGGCTGAGACAAGGCAAATGTGGCATCATACTTGCCGCAACCTTAAAAAAAATTGTAGAAAGTCGTATTAGAGAATGTCAAAGCGTTGAGCAGAGCCAGCCTTACACCTCGTATGTGTAGGTCATGAATTCCCCATGTAGGTTTGTACGATATTTCAGAAAGTGCAGACGGCCGGGGGGTAAAACCATGAATTCATTCCTTAATGTACAGCTCAGAGAGTCCTAGCTACAATCCTGACCGTGGCCAGTGCCACAATGTCAAACCATTAAAGCACTCCAGCTCTTGATCGTCATCCCTGGCTCATTGTTCCCATACCAATTCATTGTGTACCATTCATCGCGATTTCACTGCGTCGCATGATCCGAAGCAGGGTGCAGCTCCGCGAGAGCTTCCGGCTGGGTCCAATGGATGTGGTCATCACCACCTGCAGCTATGATCTGGACCGAGGCAACACGATCCTTGACAATCCTGTAGATATTGTCTCGAAGCTCCAGGAGTTCTCTCAAGAATTTTCGGGGTAGGCCACAGTCGCAGACATTGTGAGGGCTGGTATTCCACTGCGAGAGGACTGTCGACAAGTCGTCCGAGAGCGTTCTTTTGCCTTTGAGAAAGTCATTAAGCACCCGGTCGCCGCTAAATGTTCCTTTCCCGTCTCCTTCATGTGTACAAGTCAGATCTTCTGCTGCTACTAGAAGTTTGACACTCTTGAGAGCCGGGTGTATCGCAAGAGCGTGCTCTTCGTTACCATAAAAGCCAGTGCCGATGCTTGTAATGAACAACTCCAAGTTTTGAATGGACCAGAACCATGGTGTTTTTTTGTTGCCATTTTCAATCTTATCAAAGTCATGGAATAAGATTAAACCTAATGGAGGAGGAGGAAAGGGAGTACTATGGCGGCGACGAGCAGAATTATAGAATGGTATTATCAAACGTGGAATGAAGCAGAAGCTGTCGACCTTGAAATTCATCCAGGTTGGCACTCGAGACCAACTATTGTCATCGCAGAAGCCGGCCGGAGGTTGAGCGAATTCATGGTCGAAGTCGGGACTTGGAGAACCATGAAATGGAGCCCAATAGGTCCAGTTCGGAAGCATGATCTCGTATCGACGGGCTACAGCCAAGTCGACGAATCCCAGAAGAGATCGAGGGTGTCTGATGTTTCGGCCACTCGACCACACGAGCTCAGGAAACGACGTCTGGTTGAAGTCGTAGTAGCAGCTCTCATCCCAGAAACCCTCATCCATGCCGCAGAACATGTGCCTGACCCTTAGGTTGACTGTCTCGTAATGCTCCCAAATCAAGAGCTGAAGCTCTTTTGGCAGCATGGGGAAGTAGTCGAATTTTTGGGTCTGCTCATGCTCCATCTTTGCCGGAGAGTCGTTCTGAAGTGGTCTGTCTTTACCAGACATGGTGCTCAAGCCTAGATCTCCGAGCGGGCTTTTGTTATTTCCCCTAGGCGATGTTTCGGAGAACGAGAAGTCTTTTGGAAAATCCGAAGCGAAAGATTGAACAAGTTGAGGCGGACCTCGCTGGGAGACGGAGGACTTTAAATATTCCCCGGAATAAAAGGTCAGGGTGTTAACAGGACGCTCGAAACAATGTACCTCAGCGTTCAAAATATCACGTTCTCCTGAGGCACCATCATCAAGGCACACACATAATGTGTCGCTAATCAACAAGATCAGGGCGACAAGCAACAGCTGCCTCACAAAGAGCATGTAATGAGTAAATCCTAATCAACTTGTGCTTGGCTGCCACTGTCCATTTTGAATCTGTACATCAAGCCTTGGCCTCACTCAACTTAATCAAAATGAATACCGAGCCGGGTGCAACAATCGTGAAGATAAAAGAGATCGTCTATCCGTGTTTTGATTCACGTTACCCCGAAACATGATGCTTTCCACCAATCTTGAGAGTTTCGATTCGAGTGGGAAAAAAGGAATTTTGTGACGGCTTGCTAATGATTAATCCGGCGTCAGGTTCTTTAAAGAACGAATGTTAGCAAAAGTGGTGCTACACAAGATGTACAAAAACTGCTTACCATAAGAGTGCTGTCTATCGGTTGAGCTTCATGATGCCTCCAGCCAGCTGGGTAGCCGTGACAACATCAAAGATGTTTGCCAGAAAGTTCATGACAATACTGAGCTCGAGCCCCTTGCCCTTGTTGCAAAACAAGATTGGCGCGAGCATAGCCGTCAACATGCTCGTGGCAATGGAAAAGTAGAATATGTAGTGGTGGACATCAATCTCCTTTCTTCGCATGTGGTCGTCCAAGATAGGGACCAAGTGGCAGTAGCTACTCAGAATCTGCAAGAAGAAGCTGCTGAGAAGACCGACGAACTTGGGGTTGCTCGTGCAATGAGCGCTGGCATTCGGGTCGGGGCATTTGTCGGCGTCGTTGGGGTTGGCGGTCGATACCTGTTCATTGAGGGACATGGTTTTCGAGATACTAAATCCCACGAGCGCACCACTGACCGAAAGTGTGACCACGACCAACGTCCAGAGTACGGGTGGTCTGATAAAGTTCTGGATGGCTGCGGTGGCTCTCGAATGTCTGCAATGACAAAACATTGTGCGTTAGCAAGGTAGAATCAAATGCGAGAAGGTGGTTTCGAGAGTCAAAGCAAAGTATCAAGGTTCCATCTTGTTGCTAGATATGCTGGCTGGATTAAATACTAGGATGTCAACCATCAATTGTTGGCTGGAAGTACCGAGACTGTAGGACTTGTACACCAGTCCCACACAGCCTCGCGCGGCAGTTGACTCAATACGCAGGTTGGACAGCATTCGTCAAGAGCTGTACGTCTTCGCAGAGGCTCTGAGCGGAGAATATGGCAAGTCCGTTGTCGCAAATAGGAAATGGCTTCGGAGATCTCGTCTCATTTCTGTCGTCGCCGAACACAGGCTTTCCGCTTTGGGTTGGGCCAGGAATCTTGAGTGCTCGTGTTGGAGTGTATCTGGGTAGAACGGGCGGATCGTGATCACAAGGCTGTGGCGTAGGTCAGTTCAAGTTTCCAAGTGAAGAAAGAGTTTGCATCCTTGTACGTACCACATTATGGAGAGATTGGTCCGTAGTAGTAGTTTAGACGGAATGGAGGACTGGGCTCAGGTAAGACCAAAGCGTTCGACTTGATGGTCTGCGAGAGTGGTAGTTGTACTGGGCTACACGAACTGAGGAGAGATAGTATGGCTCGAAAATTCCCCGAAACAGAAGAAGAAGAGGAATGTTGGAGTGTAATTGAATCAAACTCGACAACGAGATCTCTGAATTAGTCTGTAATTAAATGAAACTAGTAGTAAGCTGACAAATAATTGGCTGGGCATATTTGGCTGATTTGATAATTGAATGAATGAAGAGGTGGATGGAATGACGGAATAGACTGATGGACAGATGAATGAATGAATGAATAAATGATAGAATGATTGAATAGCAAAAGTAAATAAAGGAATGAATGAATGAAGAAGAAGAAAACACCAAGGAATAGGATTGAAACTGTTGCTGGATAGATGGAATGGGATCAAAGGGGTGGGATTGAAGAACACCAAGGAGGTATCGCGGTACCAGGGCAAATGAATGAAGCAGAGTATCACCAGATAGGCATCCTGCATAGCATAAAGGCAATACTCCGGGCCAAACGAATGCAAACGAGGCCATCACCAAGGGTTGGACACAAGTAGGTGAACAAACCGAAGAAGTTCAACAATCAAACAGGACAGTCTGGCAAGCAAGCTTGGCTCAATGGTTCTAGTATCAGACTAACAATCTCTCTAGAAAACTTACCGTTCGAACCCCAGGCTTGGACACCAACCTGTTCCCGACTCGACGACAGCCCAGGCTGGAGTGTGGTCGCTCCCCCCAGCCGGGCCCGCTCTCAACAACAGGTGTGAGTAGTCGGCCTCGCAACTAACAGGAATAGGGCTTCGAATGTTGGGTAGGGGGAAACAGCTAGATGGGATATGAGGGGCTCCGACCAGAGGTGCGATAGGAGACCTTCGACTCAAGTAAGTACACAATCCCGCAAACCAGACTGTCCTGTTCTCTTTTTTTTTTCTCAAAAATCAGACTATAAGCTAGACTTGAACGATAACTAGCTTTAGCTATGACTTCTCTCTCTTTTGATGACTTCTCTCTTTTGATGACTTCTCTCTTTTGATGACTTCTCTCTTTTGATGACTTCTCTCTTTTGATGACTTCTCTCTTTTGATGACTTCTCTCTTTTGATGACTTCTCTCTTTTGATGACTTCTCTCTTTTGATGACTTCTCTTTCGATGGCAATACCTCCTCCCCTTCTCAAATCATACATAGCACAGCATTAGGCGACTTTAGTGGTTGAATAATAATATCATTTTTTGGTCTATGGACCACAGTTATCGAACTCTGTCTGGCCATCTATCCAGACTACTTTGATTTAAAGCTACATGCTACATAATACATTCTGGTATATGGAGTCCAATAATATGCCAAGGGTGGCGCATTCTCGCTCTGTTGGTACGACTCTATCCAACCAACTCATTCTTTTTGAGAATGGCCAACTTTCCACCACAAGCGCAGAATCTCTGCTGGCTGAGCACAAATGCAATACCCGGCTTGGCCATGACAAAGGGTATGACATCCTCCATTACACTCGCGCAGCGAGAGCATCTGCGCCAATCCACAGCCACCTCCTCCCCGGAACTATTTGTCAACTTCTTGCCGCGAAAGATTTCGACTCGCTTGAAAAGGTCGACCCTTGCGCCGCGTTCGCGGCGCGCAGCCAAGACTACTTCGTCATCGTCAACCTCGAGAAGATTGTAATTAGCAAAGAAGAGCTCGGATGGCTGACAAAAAGCGCGGAACTGCGGCAGGTCGGTCTGAAAGAATTTCTTCAGAACCGTGAGCAACGGGAGAGGCGGCGCATTGCCGAGCAGCATGGTCATTTCGCAGTGAAGCTGCGCGCGCTTGATTGCATCATCTCCGATGGACTTGGGAGGATTGGGCTGCGTCTTCTTGGCAGCTTCCATTGCACGATGACTGAATTGAGCAAATTGTTGCGTGTATTGTTGTTTAATGTCCGTGCCAATGGTGGTTAAAAGCTCATCGAACTTTGAGACATTGACAAGTGGGTTGCTTGTGTAGCGTAGCATTTTTTGGTAGGCCACCTGAAGAGCAGCAGGTGGGGGGTTGGTGGTATTGGTGTCCATAGTCTCGTAGTAGTTGATTGTTTTGTGGGAGATGAACTGGAGGTGCTGTATCCGTCGGCACACTGCTGAGAGTAGTCCACGGATGGAAGATGAGAGAATCATGTGCAGAGCTATGTTCTTCTTTGCGAGGAGGTATGGGGTCATCTCCGAGTACTTGGCTGGAGTCGTGAAGTGGTCCTGGAACTTTTGGTCGTTGAGAAGGCAGAAGAGCGAGTCCACGATCCAGCACAAAAGATCAATGGACCATTTGCAGCATCCGGCAAGAGCATCGACAACCTCTGTGAAACGTCGCGTGTCAGTTGGTAATTCGGACGAGCTGCTCATGGAAGAAAGACAGCTGAGGGAGGATCGAGTGCTTACCAGGCTCGTCTAGAGGCGTCGTGTTCTTCATATGACCGGGGGCATTATTGGCAATCGTGATCAGGATGACAATGTTGCGCAAGTTCAGGGCAAACATGGCCATCTTGCTGCGAAAGCTTCGCTCTTGGAACTCGCCATTCCATCCAAGGTGGTTGAGCACACTCAGACACAGCTGAAGTAACTGATTGCGGACAAGAGTGTCGTGATGTGGCTCTTCGGAATAGTCGATTGGAACGCGCATCATTCGGACCATTTCACTAATGAGATCGCAAGGAAATCCTGTCCAGCATGCAAATCAGTATGCTTGCATCCAATATAATAGAGCATTTGCACTTACGTGTCTTGCCAAGGAACTGTCTTGCGACTGCAAGGACGTCGTCGATATTGCCGTTCGAGGCAGCTGCCTGGCCAATGGAAATGGTGAGTGCTGCCACTACCGCCTGGTATTGTGCTGTGTGATGTTAGCGCCCGTCTCATTGGTGCTAGATTGTTGGGGTCAAGTACAGTCGTTCATAGAAGCCAGATCCGTCAGCGTGTACGCGACGGTATGCCATTTGACAGTGTTGTCCTCGCAAAGCTGCACTACAGACGCCAATGTGGCAGATACTGCTGCTTGGAGACCTAGAGATGCAGGTGAGCTTTATGTTTTTGAATATGACTATCCTGGGAGCCAGGCTCACATGATTGTTCTCCATTCTGCGTAAAGCCGGCCTCATGGATGGAATTGATACGGTCGAGGTTCACCTCTGTCCACAATGGGTTCAGGGTCGTTCGATCTCGATACTCGACGGTCCCGTCACTGTAAGTCACACATATCGCCGTGTTCAAGCGAACGAGACTGATGCCGACGGCAATCTTGTTGACGACAACGGGCTCGAGCTTTTTGAGCCTGAAAGCAGGCTGTAACTTGTTCATCAGAAACGATCACATCAAAGCAATGTATTGAGAACACTTACGGCTGGTGCAGCACCGACACTGTTTCTTCTCGAGCCCAAGTTCTCAAAAGCAGGGTGCAAAGTCTGAGGCTGGTCGGACGTGACTTCCCATCTGTCGATTATGCTTTGCGCTTCTTGATTGTATGGAGTATCGGCGGTTGGTACGAATGAGCGTACAGCGAGGATGACTGGCCAAAGCCATGATTTGGTCGTCTGATCAAAAGTACCGGGCACAAATTCGAGGAGTGAAAGCTGGTTTGCCAGCGACTCTGACGGAGGTTCGGTCGTGTTGCCTGGCAGCCAGCTAGTAATGGCAACATGTTTTCCCGCAAATGATGGATTCAGCGATTGGCCTGCGGCCATCGCGCCCTTCATTGTTTCCTGTGAGAGCCCCCAGCTGAGCTGGCATTGAGCCAGATGGAGTTGCTTAGATGACGTTGCGAATGCAACCCACATGCATTTGGCTAGGGATATTATCAGATATTGTACAGTGAGAAGTAGGACTCATGCGGGGTCCTTACCTTTGGTGTCAGGGGCAATGGCTGCATGAGTCACCAGATCATTAGACGAAGTAATATTGTCTAATTCAAATGACGTCTCCTGGATCTTGTTGTTGTTTTGAGACCAAAACATCTTCAATAAGCCATTCGTGGTGACATAAACCAGAGCTGACCTGGTTGGATTGGGGTGGTATGGAGCATTGCTGACTTGCAGAGACGTATCAAAGGTGTAGCTGTTACTATTTCCTTCTTTATACGCAGGAGCATGTAGAGGGTTCGCCTGTGCGATATTAGCTGGGACTCATTCCATAGTTGTTGTGAATGAGGTCAAAGTACCTGGTTTCGATGCGTGGGCAAAAGGTTAAGCCAGAATGTTCCGACGACTGCATTAAGATCATCTGTTGGATCATCGTCCCATTTTCTCTGGGTTGTCGGCCGGTTGACGTTTGCGCTGAAGTTGACAATCAGGACTCTGCCCACGGCGTCGATTATGGCAAGGTCGGAGGTTTGAGTTGGTGACCAAGCAAGATGCACGATTGGGCCTCCAAGCAAGCTGCCTTCAGGTACGAATGTTGTCGGCTCACTCAGCCCCCAGGAAGCATCTTTTGGATGGGCACGCAAGTATCTAAGCTCAATAGATCGACCATCAGGTGCCACGGTTGCAATGATGCCTGTTTTGGACCATGCCAGAGACCTGAAGTCAAGAAGAGTTAGCCACATGACCCGCGCGCCTGCCTATCAAAGAAAGAATAATCATTTACTGGCAGGCCCCGCGAGTTCGGAGCTCGTTGATTCTCTGCAAGAGACGCTTGCTGGGGCGGGTTTGCAGGTTCATAGCATCGTCGCCAAAAAGATCGTCGACGCCGAGGTCGACTTGCATGTCGGCTTGCGCTGCCATGTTGTTATCCAGTATGAGAGGCATGTTCTCATGGGTCTTTTGAGCAGGCACACGAAGTCGTGATGCTGAAGGGCTGGGCTGTCAACTTATAGGTCGTCCACCTCCATCGGTTTGGACTGCTGGACGGAAGTCCGATGATGTCCTTGGTCGCAGCCCAAGCGCAGCAATTGTGAAATTTCAATGGCGAAGGTCCGAAGAGGGAAATAGTTGAATGAAAGAAGTGATTCTATGGGAATGAATCGCCCCCAAGGCTGCGAAGATGCCTGCGTGATGCACAGTGGAACCTAGCACGGCGCGGCTGACTGATGGGCGCTGGCAAATTGGTGAACTTCAAGACTGGTAAAAGAATGGTGGGAGGGGGAAAAAAAATAAAAAGGTTGTTGTGACAAGCAACTGGATCAACTTATTGGTCCCCAAGAATCTTATTAATCCCGTGCAATCATAGAAGCCAAGAGACTGTTGAGGCTAGAGATGTAATTGCTTCAAGGTGCGCAAATGTCTCCTATGGGCAGTGAGTATCATGGAGGTAAGTAAAGCTTCTATGGAACCGGAAACCCAGATGCGACCAGCCTATCTAATCATGGCGGCGGCTCCAAAATGATCAACGAAGGGGACGAGGGACGGACACCGTGCGCGCTCTCAACTTTGGGGTCCAAGGTTCGCAATCAGCCACACTTGCAGTTCTTGCGCCACAATCAAAAAGGTGGGACTTCTTCTTCCCCAGTCTCCACTCTGACCTTGACAGATGTGGCGCATCGGCAACGTTAGGTGCGTAATTAGCGTCCAAAAACTCGATCCGGTAGCATGGCAAGCAAGCATGGGCGGGGGCCACGAGTGTTTATGTTGTCGAAGCAACGGCCAGGGGTCCATAGTCAAAATCCACCGATTAGAAAGAACAACTGCAAGCACAACACTCATGATGCGATAATTGATGTGCTTGGTTGATATTGCAATAAAAGCGCTTTCGTATCCATAGTGTCAAAACATATGATTGTGCCTAATGTCTTCGAGGCGCCGCCGTGGCAAGCTTATCTTGTGGTCTACCATGAGCTAGCCGCCTCCTCCCATGATGAGATTTTGGGGCAAAGGCAGACAATGGATGCCGAAGGGTTGAAACTTGCTCTGTAGCGAGGGGCCGGACGAGTTGGAAGCAAACAAAGCTAAAGAAAAAAAAAAGAATTGTTCTTGCCATTCGACCATTGTCCATACAAAAACAAATGAATGAGATATGCAGTCAAGTCTGATATTCTAATGTATGTATATATGTACTGCAGGTAAGCTTAATCACTCTCCTGGCGATCGTGCGCAGGGTGTCACAAGCCCACGGCATGCCCAGGTGGTTTTCTGATCCCGAAGAAAAAGAACAGTTCGCCCTGCTGCTGCTGACACCCCTTCTGCAGCCACCCATAAAAACGAGTGACATTGCTGTAAAGTACGTACCTTGATATACCTACCCGATTACCTACCCGACCCCACCCACACACAGCGTGGCAGCCCGTCATAATAACAGACAGCGCTTCTGCAGTGTAAATAACTAACCCGCCAGTCCAGCACTCAACTTGGCTGATCTGCGCCCCAAAGTCACGCAAAAGGGCCCAGGCGGTCCAATCTAACTAAACCTAGCAGCAACCGACGACTAACGGAGCCGCAGTCCGTCCCATCCAGCCCAGTCCAGTTACCCATCCCCGTCCAACCACATACCTCCAAAAATCGCCGACCGACCAACGTCTTCACTTCACTCATTCACCCATTTGCCGCATACGCGGAACGAGACGCGAACAACGCACGCCAATTCACGGTCGCATTTGCATCATTGCTACAATAGCACATGCGTGACTGTGCTGCTCTTTCGTGCGGCGCGCTGTTCACGATCCCATTGCGCAGGGTCAATCGGGCTCTCTCGTCGTTAGCCTCCCTATTGCCGAAAAGATAGATCTCGACCTGCTTTCTCTCTCTTTTCCTCCTTCCCTGGTATTCTCGGAAAAGACCTGCGCCAACAAGGCCACACCCGTGCCTTCCTCAGGCTGTCTCCCCGTCAAAGAAAATAATATCCTTTGGCAATTAAAATGGATTCCTCTTCAGACTTGTCCGACCCGCCGCCCTCGCCGCCCTCCGACCCGCCTACATCCCCATTGTCCGAACTCTCAAAGTCGCCCTCCCTTTCGCCCACATCTCGCTACGTTTCGCCGCCCTCTACGTTGCCTTCAGGAAGCGCTTCGCCCATGAAAATGTCAGAACCTGTAGTAAAAGACTCCATCTGTGTCAATACTGAAGGCGCAAGACCCGCAAAGCGACGCAAAATTGAGAAGAAGCCTCGGACCACCGAGTACTTGGATCTGCGAGCTGGCTATGACCACAACGAAGATGATGAGGACTTGGTCAACCGCCTGACCTCTACATTGCGCCAGAAGAAGAAAATCGTCATCATTGCAGGTGCAGGAATCTCCGTCTCTGCAGGCAGTAAGGAATTTCTTTTCTTTTTTTCCCTGTGGCTTTCATTCAGACCTGATATTTGAAATTAACATGTGATCCCAGTACCTGATTTCCGTTCTTCAAAAGGCCTTTTCAAAACGCTCAAGACAGAGCATAAATTGAAGGCGTCTGGGCAGCAGCTATTTGATGCTTCTGTATATAAGCACAATGATTCTACCGAGACATTTCACGCCATGGTCCGAGCACTGTCGGATCAGACCAAGCAGGCAAAGCCATCTGCCTTTCATCATATGATCGCCTCCATCGCAGAGGAGGGCCGTCTGTTGCGCTTGTACACGCAAAACGTTGATGGTATCGATACCTCCATGCCACCACTAGCCACCACAGTCCCTCTGGCGCAGGTCGGTGAGGAGAAGGGTTCGTGGCCCAAAACGGTCCAACTCCATGGCGGCCTTGATAAGATGAGCTGCTCCAAATGCAGCGAACTCTACGACTTTGATGGTTCAGTATTCAACGGCCCTGAGCCACCTCCATGCCCCGGCTGTACAGAGATAGACAATGTACGGACCTCTCATGCCGGCAAACGGAGCCACGGCGTCGGTAGACTGAGACCTCGAATGGTTCTTTACAATGAACACAACCCTGATCAAGATGCCATCACCAAGGTCATCAAGGCTGATACAAAAACACGCCCGGATGCTGTCGTCGTGGTTGGAACCAGCATGAAGATTCCAGGTGTACGAAAGCTTGTGCAGGACCTGTGCTACTATACGAGACTGCGACGGGATGGCTTTACTGCTTGGATCAATCTTGACCAGGAACCAAGTGGTGTCGACTTGAAGGACTGCTGGGATCTGGTCGTACGAGGCAAATGTGACGATGTTGCCACGCTTGTAGGTCTGCCTCATTGGGATGAGAGCCCAGCTCTAGGTCATGATGTCAAGGTGGACGACAAGAAGTTTGAACAGGTCAAGGAGACACTCCGAACGACGGAATTGGAAGTTCAAATTCCCCGGTCTCCTGAATTGTCTATTGCCTCTGTCAAGGAGGAGTCTCGTGCTACAACACCGGCCGAGGCACAGTCACAGATGTTGGAGAAGATTCGCGGCATGCCTACCCCAACAGCTAGTCCCAAGATGCGAACCGCACTGCCTCAGATATCTCAGAAACCTCTGGCAAAGACGAAGCAGAGCCAGCTTCTCTTTTCCAATGCTGCCTCCAAGTCAACACCTGCTCCAGCGGGCAAAGAGACAAAGAAACGAAGCCGTAAGCCTGCACAGACGAAGAAGGCTGAACCAAAGCCCAAACCGACCATCAAGAATGCTTTCAAGGCAACCAAATCGCAAGTTGCTGCATCTGCCAAGGGCCCTGCCAAAAGAGGTCTGGATAGTGATCAGTCGTTGAAAGCGATGGACGATGCCCAAACCAACTGGAAATCCAACTTTCCATTTTCGCTACGCCCCAGCGCCACTAGCGAGTCAAAAGGAGAAAGGGAACGTATTCGCTTTGAAAGCACAACTGGCCAACTTCAAACATCTTTGAGAGAAACCGAGACTCAACGAGGACCTACAACACCCAAACAGGAGGGGTCGTCTAGCGAGACGGAGACCATTAGCCCGCCGTCCAAGCCAAGAGGATTGTCCGCCATGATAGACTGATGTCCGGACTCGCCTTGTACATATCATACAGGGACCAATGCGTCGCTGGATGCTCTGATTTGAAAAATGCCCATGCCCACTCGACTGACAGTCAGGTGGAAGAAGAGGATCATTGCATATATACATCTACAACAACAACAACAACAACACTGGTAAATGCATCGCGGCGTTGGGGAGTATCTTATGCTCAAGAGCTGAGCTGCATTTGTTATTGATTTTTTTCTCTATTTCCCCAAAGTCGTCAAGGCACGTTCGATGAATGATGCCTCCTTGAAAGAGAGACGTTTTGGCGCGGACGAGTATAGTTACAGCTAGATAGTGCCAAGCTTATGTAGCATTGGATAATGAAAGCTGTTGACAACAACCGGTGTACGGAGCACCAGAGGGCGAATTGTTGAAAAACCCCGATTTTAGCCTTATACGCTCATCCCTCCGTGATTATAATAAGAAGATTATAATAAATGAGAAAATGAGAAAATGAGAAAATGAGAAAATGAGAAAATGAGAAAATGAGAAAATGAGAAATAAAAAAAATAAGAAACCTTTTTTCTTTCTTTTTTTTTTCTTTCTCTTTCTCTTTTATCTCTCTTCTTCTCTTCTATTTCTCTTTCTCTTTTATTTCTCTTTTTTCTTTCTATTTTCTTTTTTAAAAGAAAAATCCTAAAAAGGGGGTGGACTTTTGCAAATAGGATGATTTTATCCAATAATTGGGTTTTCAACAGTTTGCCCTCTGAGCATCCGTACCGGTGCAGGAGATGATGTGCAACACTTGAACCCCATGCCCAAGAACCACATCAAACAAGCTTGATTCAATTGGTTCGCCATATCTCGGAATACTCGCTACTGTCACGGGTTTTCCGAGAATCTGGGGAATGCTCAGAGGAGGAGTCGGCAAAATAAGGTGGCCGGGAAACGCTGCCGACTGGACCGCACAAACAGCCGCCTGACAGCCCCTGGCCACAGTTGGGCCTTCCTATTCGAGCAACATGATCGGTACCGAACTCTTTCACAGACTTCTTACAAATAATCTTACAAAGAATAGAAACGAAGCCCGATATTGACATTTTATAAAGGGACGCGTGTTGCCAAGACGGGACAGACCAACGTTCCCCGCATGTTCTATATCTTTTTACGAGCAGTCGGAATTTCTGCTTCTTTTCTTTGGCGCTGTTTGTTGGCTTGCCTCCCTCTCCAACCTCACACCTCCCCTTCAGGCACCAGGAGTAGGTCGCATCATGGGCGGCCGGGCCAAGACTCCAATCGGCAGCGACGATTATCCGTCCGGGACTGTCTCGTTTTTTTCTTCTTCTCGACGGCGCAAAGTCGCAAAAAGCACAATTAACCTTATTGATACCTTCTTGTTGTAGATTGTTGGTCCGTCTGGGGAGGATTGCGTTACACACGCCGCATAGGGGTCCAGAGTCTCGGCGTCGAATATCGGGATTTCTCAGAAAAGAATTAATATTGGTTGCAACATGGATACAAGGTATGCAAAAAGCATGGGGAAGAGAGGCTCTCTCCACGTGAAGGAATAATTATATATATATATATATATAGGAACGGAATTGCGAGAGAAAAGACTAGTATTTAGAGGTACCAGGAGACTCTTCGATATTTCAAGTAGTCGAAGAACGAAGCTCCTACGGGTGATATTCGTTACTGAACAACATCTAGATAAAAGTTTGTGGGGAAACATGGCGTCCTTTATACAAAAAGTCTCCCTGCTCCTGGCAGCCAGCTCGGTCGTATCGGCCTTTCCAGCCAAGCGCGATGCTTCCGTGTGCACCGAGATTCGCCAGCGCGTGCCATGGTGAGTAACTTTTTTCCTTTCCCCAATCCCTGAAATTGAAGAGAGTGTTGAGCACATTTGAGTGCATATCGCTCCCTTCTCATGGTGGTTGCCTCGAAAACTCTCTCCCTTGACCCCCATGCTCGTTTTCTTGTATGATGGAATAAGGTGGCGCAAGGCTGACATGTGGCTCCGTCATTGTAAAGGACTTCTTTGACCCAGGAAGAAAAGGACGCTTATATCCAGGCTGATCTCTGCTTGATCAACTCGCCGTCCAAGGGGGAAATTGCCGGCGCCGTTACCCGGTGGGATGATTTGCAATGGCCGCACGTTGTCCAGACTGATTCGGTCCACTTTGTCGTAAGTCATCACTTGACAGATTCGCTATTCTTGCTAGTGAAGAAAACATACTGAATATCTCTTGTCAAGGGTGCTTTTCTGCCGTTTCACCGATACTACATGACTGCCCACGAACGTCTGATCAAGGACGAGTGTGGCTATACCGGACGTATGCCGTACGTTTCTGAAATGACTTTCTCCCTTTTTTCTTCTTTTATGTCTCTGCTTTCCCCCTACACACACACAATATTGACATTGGGCTTCCCTACATAAAGGTACTGGGACGAAACAGCCGACATTGGCAAGCTGACCGAGTCGGAACTCTGGAACGACGAGTACTTTGGCGGCGACGGCACGGGCAATGACCGCTGCGTCACTACGGGCACTTTTGCCAACCTTACCCTGCGTTGGGTCCAGGATAGTACCGTGTCCGAGCACTGCCTCACCCGCCGCTTCAACGAGCGCTCTCTTCAGCAGGCCAGTCTCGACGCCATTGCCAAGTGTGACGCCATTGACAATTATGAAGAGGCCTGGCAGTGCTTCTCAAATGGGCCCCATGGTTCTGGCCATGGTGGTGTTGGTGGTATTGTATGATTCCCCACCCCCAACCACCACCAAAAAAACCGCCGTGAATATAACATCACCGAGCCAGCCTGTTAACCTCGCACACTATCAACAGATGAGCGATCCTACTCTGAGTCCCGGAGATCCAGTGTTCTTCCTCCACCATACGTGGTTAGATAAACTTTGGGTAAGCAAATTCCAATGTCATTTCTCTCCTTTTCTAGGTTGTCTCATGAGCAAGCATTGTCCGCAAGAGAGCAGACTCGGACAAACTGCTTAAAAGAGCTGCTTCAAACTTGTATATCTGCCCGAATAGGGAATTGCTAACATGTTGTTGTAGTGGCAGTGGCAGGCGGCTAATCTCACGGCGAGACTGACCGACATGGGCGGACCCAACATTCCCGGCCGCAGCGCATTCCCCGGCGGCGGAGGTGGAGGTGAGTTTTTCAGCCACCCATTCGTGACAATGGCCCCTGTTATCTTCTCCGTACTTGTTGCTCTTTCTGACCATTTATACTTGCTTCTTGACAGGAAATCTCCCCGGAAACGGCAAGGGCACAGGTCCAGAATTTACTGATTACTTTGGCGATAATGGCAACATTACCACGCTCAACCACCGACTCTACATGGCCGAGATCTTCCCCAATATTACCATTGCCGACATCATGGATATCGGTGGCGACGTCATTTGCACTGAATATATTGACTAGATTGTTAGTCAGCAAGAGGTCGTCGGCAAGTCTGCGTGTCTGAGCAAGAAGAAAAACACAAGAGCGGGCCCGAGTCATCGCATGTCTATGAGGACGAGGTTTTCAAATGCAGTAGTAGTATTGCTCAATTGAAATTTGAATCAATTCTTTCGTTCCCAAGTCATACCAAATTGAAGAATTTTAAGATACATCAGAGAGAGAAAGTTACCATCAGGACGTGGAATCAAACAAAGTAGCGGGTAAATGAACACCATAAATATATGGGCATGGGAGTTGAGTGCACCCGCAACTTCTCTCGGGTTCAATTGTTAGCCTGGCAAAAAAGGTAGGCTCTCACGACACATTCACCATGTAAGCATGCGGGCAAGGCTGTCTTTTTTTTTTTGTTTGTCTTTCTTGTTTTTTTCCGCTAAATATCATATATTCCCTGCCTCAAACTGTGGCAAGCATATTTCGTTGATGCCTTGTCTGGGCGGGCTCCCAATCTAATGCGTCTACTTATTGCGACCCTCATGTGAGCATCTAGAGTCAGACGCCCCTGAAAGCTCAGACCGACGATCTAATCTAGATAAAGTGCCACGGTGAGGACAAGCATGCTCGTAACGATTCTTTGCCAAAGTCTTAATGTATATATCTTCCCATCTCTGGGTCATCTCCCTAGGCAAAAGCTATCAGCCACGGACATTGGCAAGGGCACCCGTCCTGACCGTGGCGTCACGTTGCTATCTTGTCTCGGGTTGATTCTTTTTCTCTTTCCTTCTTTCCTTCTCCCGCACTCTAGAATGTGACCCGAATAACTGAGCACAGCTGAACCATAATCGCTGATTGATGACAAACAATTATCCCCCAACGCCGCTGGCCCTGTAATGTCGATGCTTTTGCGGGGTATGTTGTTAGGAGAAGCCTGAAGCCGTAAACAATGAAATGAGGATGCTGTTTGTTGCACCTGAACGCCGGTAAATGCAATTATGCTAGCCGAAATAGCATTAATCGACCACTCTTGGCCAATATGCCCGATAAACCACTCTAGTGCCTTGGTCGCGAGACCTCGCCCCGTGAAGTTCCATTCGCAGTTCCTGAGCTCGATGACTTCGAAGACTTCGCCTTTTCCTTTTGTGCATCTGCTTCTGCCGTCTTCAACTGCAGGTACAGTTGCGAAAGCCGCGGGCCAGTCATCGACTTGTCCTTATCCGAGCTCGAGGCCTCGCCCTTATCCTTGTCCGGTTGACTAGGGGGAATCCGCTTAGAGATGAATCGCCTGAGAAATAACATCGTTAGGAGATTTTTCCAAAGACCGTGAGTGTGCAACTTGTTTCACTTACCAAAGTTTCGGCTTGATCTCGTCAATGTTCAGCTCGGGAGTCTGTGGCAAGCCTTCAATGAAATTGCCAATCGCCGTGATCTCTGCCTTCAAGACCTTGGCTCTTGCCTTGGCAATCGGAATCTTGGCTCTGGTGCATGACTCTACCCGCTGCACAGATTCCCAAATTGGCTGCATCAGGGCTTCAATAATGTGAGCATTCTTCTTATCATCCTCTTCCTCCAGTTCCTGTTGACGCCTGCGAGCCTCGGGAGAATCTTCCTTCTCAGTCTCAACACGAGGATGCTTGCGTCGTGCTGATTCATCTAGACCACCACTAGGTTTGCGCTTGGGAATGAGACGGCTAGAGTCCCTAGAGTCCCCATCTACCTCACGCGACCGACCGTGATCACGGGAATTCGTACGAATTAGATCGCGATCACGATCCCTCGACTCCTTCTTTCGGGGTACAGGCGAGGCGGATGTAGCGTTTTTGCTGCGGTGGCCATTTGCAAGAGCATGAGCTGACTTCTTGTTGTTGCGATGATGATTTTCAACAACGCGTTTGGCCTCCACGTCATCCGAATGAATAGCCGTCAAGACTGACAGGAGATATTCAGAGCGACGAACAAGGTGAACGGCACCAGGAGCCTTGGCACCCTTGGCCTCTGCTTGTTCACGTGCTGCCTTCTTTTCCACGCGGTGCTCCTCGAGGAAGAACTTGTCCGCCATCTCTAGTTCCTTGTCGTCTCGAATGTTTGTCCAAGCTCCAAAACCATAGCGATCAAGGCCAATCATCAGCATCCCGTCCTCTTTGGCCCCCCATTCGCAGCTGTAATGTGCTGCTTTTGTTGCCTCGGGAAGACGGAAGTTCCTAAAGTCTGGTTGCTCCCTGATAATGCGACGAAGGAGCCGCAACTGAGGTGGTCGCTCAAGAATGGTTTCAGCGTTGATCTTCTTGATCTCACCAAAGTCAAACATGACCGCCTTGACGTCCTTTTTGGTCAGCTTCTTCCTGGTTTGCTGCTCTTGCTGGCGAAGATCATCATTGTTCTTGTCCTTCGCCTCTTGGGCTGTGGCAACAAGATCCTCGAGAATACCGCGGATAAAGTCTCGATCTCGATCACTGAGGCGGGCGTCACGGAGGAGCTCATCTGGGCGGTCGTCAAAGTAACCATAACGCATGAATGCCCTAATCAGGTTGCGCATCTCCTTCTCGTTTAGTGGACGCTTAGGGTTGGTACGAAGGGCTCTCTGTTGCTCGAGCCGTTCCTGCTTCAGCTGCTCTCGCTCGCGCTTCTTAGCCGCGCGCTCGGCTCGCTCGGAATCGCCATTGGCTTGTGCACCCTTGAGCGCTGCACGTCTGGGGGCACTCTCCTCCAAGGCCCGTTGAAGATACTCGTCATTCTTCTTCTTATCCTCATCAGCCTTGATGGCAGCCAGCTCGTCCGCAGGTATAATCTGATCCCAATCCAGTGCCAGGTCATCAACCTTGACATCGGTGTATTGCATAAAGTTGTCCCAATCAATGCCACCAGTACTGAGATTGATTTTGTCCGAGACTTGAGTTTTTGTGACCTCTGCGTTCTCGAGAATGGAATCGATATCTAGCTGCTCCAAGCGTTCTTGATTGCCTGACTGTTCGAACATCTTCTGCGAGCGCATTTTCAGGATCCATTGGATGTCGTCAGCTGACTTGGCCTCGTCGACTCTGAGACCTCGTTGTTTGAATTCCTCTCGGAAAGCCTTGCCCTCATCCGTGACGCCAGCTTGAATGGCCAGGTACTCGAGGAGGAGCTTGTTACGAGCACGTTCAAGGACTTCCTCTTCAATGGTTTCCTTGGAAACCAATCGATAAACCATGACAGGTTTCTTCTGGCCGATACGGTGAGCTCGGGCCATTGCTTGCAGATCGGCTTGAGGGTTCCAGTCGGAGTCGAAAATAATGACCGTATCTGCTGTCATCAAGTTGATTCCAAGACCACCAGCTCTGGTCGAGAGAAGGAAACAGAAATCTTGGCTGTCTTCGGCATTGAAATGGTTAATGGCAAGACGACGAGGTCCTGCAGCGACCGTACCGTCAAGGCGTTGGAACTGAAAGCCACGAAGGCGAAGGTAGTCTCCAAGAATGTCAAGGACCTTGACCATTTGACTGAAGATCAGTACACGATGGTTGTCCTTACGAAGCTTTGTCAAAAGTTGATCCAGAAGCATCATCTTTCCGCTGCTTGTAATGAGACCCTTGATTTGATCCTCGCGCCGCTCGCTCCCGGCGAGGACCCGCTCCTCGGCTCCAGGAAACATGTAGGGATGATTGCTGACTTTCTTCAGCTCCATCACAATGTTGAGTAGGGACTGCTTTTGTCCCGTGTTGCCCTCATTGAGAGCAGCATAGTTGCGTGTCAGGATATTCTTGTAATACTCGAGCTGAACATCAGACAGCTCAACACGAATGATTTTCTCCGTCTTTGGGGGCAGATCAGATTCGACCGTCTCTTTGGTACGGCGGAGAATGAAAGGTGCAATGGCAGCATGGAGGTCTTGGAGCTTCTCTTGAGCGTCTGCGCTTTGCAATGTTTCGAGATCCTCATCAATCACGACTTTGCCCGGGTTCAGGAAATCAAGAAGAGAGGCAAGCTCAGCCAGATTGTTCTGAATGGGCGTACCGGTAATGAGGAGCCTTGAAGGGGCGCCAAAGCTGACCAGCTCGGCATACAGCTTAGATTCCTTGTTCTTCAAGCGGTGAGCTTCATCGACGGCGAGTGCTTGCCATTTGAGTGTACGCAAGAAATCGGCGTCGGAGAGAATGTACTCGTAGGATGTGACCAAGACATTAAACTTTGTCTTCTTGGGATTGCCGTTGATCAACAGCTCATGCTCGCGGATCGTAGCGCGAGCCTCGCTGTTTCCAAGATACACGACATAGTTGAGATCTGGTGACCACAGATTAAAGGTATCGCACCAAGCAGGAATGACACTGAGAGGTGCGACAACCAGGAAGGGCCCTTCTTGTTGGCGTTCGTTGCGCAGCCAACTCAAGAAAGCAACGCTCTGAACTGTCTTGCCCAGACCCATTTCATCGGCCAAAATGACATTGTTGCCACGACACCAGTTCAAGCAGAGGAAGTTCAATCCGGTCAGTTGAAAGTTTCTCAACTCGCCTCCTTTGATGAAATCGGGTTGCTTCTCAAGTTTCAAGAACTTGGTTCTGGTATTCAGGTTCGTCTCGTACTTGTCAGACGTCCACGTGCGCGCTTGGCGATCGAGGAACTGGTCGATTTTATCTTGGGCATCGTCGCGAATAGTAGAAGCAAGCTCCCAAGTACAACACTCATAGGTAAGACCTTTCCACTTGACAAAGTATTCCTTGCCCTCGTCGCCGTTTCGTTCGGCAACGACACGCTCGACTTTTGTGTAGTCGGAGAGGGCATCCTGCTCGCGCTCCTTGTCGAGTAGGTATTGTTCGCGAGTCTCGGGTGGGATGTCGTCCCCAGCGAACTTGAGGTCAATCTCATACTCGACGGCTTTGCGATAGTAGTTTTCGAGTTTGCGGACGCCACGGTATCCTCTCAGGGTGTCCCAAGAATCCCAAGTATTGTGAAGATGTGATTTGCCTTCCCATTTGATGTTGAACTCAAAGTCCTCTTTCGTAGCGTCGTAAGCTAGATCACCGCCATCCCTGACGCGATGACCGACGACCTTTTCAATGTAGGGCGAGTCGTCGGCTAGATCCTCACCCCAATAGGCCGGGGTGACTTCGTCGTCCTCGTCGTCGACATCACTCTCTTCGTACATACCAGCCTGGACCTTTTTCGCGGCGTTCCTGCTCGACCATCGCTTTTCGGTATATACAGCCGCGGTAGGTGCCTGGGCTTGACGACGTGCCTTCTTGGTGAAAGCCTTTGCGCGGGCACCGCCATACGTGTCTGAATCAGAATCATCGGCAGGGGTTTGTCGCACCGGAGTCGCTCGCTTGGAAGCTGGAGGTGATGTCAGTATTGGCATGAGGTGCTCGATAACAGAAGGGTCAATGTGGTGATGAGGGTTAAAGCAGGCTTACATTGCTGAGAGATCTGCTCGACGCGTCGTCTCTTCGTCGAGCGTCTGCTGACGGGCACGACATCGGAATCCGAGTCCTCATCATCGGAATCGACCTATAACATCAATCAGCATCAAGAACTTGACCAAAGCACAACTTTGACGACAACTTACGACTTTGGACTGTTTGCTGGGTCGAGACTGTGGGCTTAATTAGCAGGATGGACCGACGTGAAAATTTTTCCTAGACATACACTTCTTCTCAAACCGTACAGCTCTGGATTGGCTTTGATGTAATCCTCCTCATCATTCGTAGCTTTTCGCTTGTTCGACTGTCGGGAGCTATTGGACGCCGACCGCTCGTCCTGGGCGCCGTCACTGTGTGAAGCAGCGGCGCTTTCCTCCATGTCGAAGTCGGCATCATCAGTGGGGTTGTCATTATCAGATTCACTAGAAGCAATGGCCTCTTGATCCTCTTCTTCAAAGGTGTTTTCGTGTTCGTCAGCGGATTGGTCGTAGTCGGCTGAGGCAGAAGTGTGTGGACGAGCAGTTATCGACTCGTCCACCTCGGACATATCGCTCTCGCCATGGGCATCGCCATTGGCACCACCGTCATCACGGACGACCAAGCGCGAATAGCCATTGGCGGCTTCGGGTTCCGGCGAGCTCGACATGATGGTTGTGTAGGTACGGGCTCGCGAAGCTGCCTGCTGCAGACGACGAGGTTAGCAAGGTGCATGATGATTGAGCAGATTTGCCGACTGAACGAATAGGGAGAACAAGCCGCGGCGATTTCAACGGAACATTAGGTTTCGGATCAGAATAGAGAGCAAGCTGAATTATTGATCAGGCGCATCTTGGGCCCTTGGTTGATGGGTACAAGGCTGATCTTGATGGCAAACTTCGGCGAGCTGGCAAGGGCTAGGGAAGCAGGACAGGGCTGTTTTAAAGGAAGTGACAGACGAGCAGCAGCAGAAGCTATCGGATCCGACGCGTCTGAGCAAGTCGAATGGCATTGAGGCCTCGATGACCGGGGCACGTGGTGTCGAGTTTGGTGATGGAATCCGCTGCTCCAGGCGATGGACGGGAGATCCAGGCACAGACGCGGGCGTGTCCAGGGCACCGATGGACGCGGGGGAAGAGGAAAATTACTTACAAGTCATCAACTACACACCCCAGGCAGCACGACAACAAGTCCAAGGGGGTGGTAGAGGAGATGTTGTGTGTCGTGTGGAGGGAATAGCCTTCCCGGTGGGTGGTGGGTGCTAAAGGCCTGTAACTGTGGAAATGCGATGAGAGGATATGGATGACCTTGGGTGAAGGTCGGAAGCGAAGCGAAACTGCGGAAGGCCTAGGCCAAGGGAAAATACTGTTAGCCTAAAATGGCTTAGTGCTCTTTTGGATTGGGAAATGCCACTAGATACAGCAGTAGGTAGTCTTGCACTTGCTTGCTTGACTGGCCGGCGGTGCGCGCGCGCGGGGGCGGGCGGCTGGGCGGCTGGCTGGCTGGCTTGACTCTTTTGGTACCGCCCGTCCAACCTGAGGCTGTATTGTACCAAATTATATCGCCCGTCTGGGTAAAATTGGAAGTTGAGCTCAGTGAACAAGACCTGTACGGCGCACTGCGACGATGAGACTTATTATTGAGTCAAAAAGACAAGAAAAGTCAAGAAAATCTTGTCAATCTTGAAAATGATGGATTTGTGTGTTTGATAATTTCCAAACTTCACTGAAAAGAGAGGTCTTGATGCGCTGACGTTTCTTGGCGCGATGGACTGTGAAGCTATTGGGGAAGATGGAAGGAGTAATTCTGGGGGACGAGGTTGGCTGGGAATTTTTGGAGGGGACCAAGAAACATCTTATACCTTGACGTCCCTGCCTACAATGCCCGTCGTAGCGCACCTCAGGCGGGCATATTGACCATCGGGGGAAGGAAAAGTCAAACTGCAGCCGAGTCCCAACGGGTGTGTCCACACACTTTTACTTTCGTGTTCACGGTTTGGTCTATCGTGGGGTCGACGAGCATCTCGAATATTGCCGGCAGTCTTGCCCAGACTATTCGAGGACGCTGCTTTGCTTGGAACAGCTGGCGTTCCTCTTACTCTTTTCTTGATACGATCTACATAGTTCTCTCTCTTGTTTTTGCTGACAAGAGATGGACTGATCCTACTAATTTGAGCCATGGAAAGCCATTAAGATGGCCTTATACAGAGTCGGGAGTGCCTGAGGCTGTAATTGGAGCAACAAATGACTTTGACTCCTGGCTGTTGGGACAAGGCCCGAGCTCTCAGGTGCCTGTTGAGATCAAGTCAGGTCCACGACCACCACTGACGAATTGTCCACTGTTTAGGAAGCAGGCTCTCTGCCATTTCATGTTTTCGATTTTGTGCAAACAGATAGTCTTATTTGTAATGACAGTCTTACAGCCTTTGTTCAGTTGATTCTACTCCGGAAAGGAAAAGAAAAGAAAAGAAAAGAAAATTGTCTACAGGTAAGACGGGGTTGTCCAGGACTGTCGATGAATGCTAGTTGGTAGACAAACTTGAGTCGTATGTGCCAACCCCTTACATGTTCTTCATTTTTCTGAGCACCATAGAACCTTGCGCTGAGCTTCCATTCCTGGCTTGGTGATAACGCAAGTATTCTCTTCTTTGTCGATAACTCGATAGCTAAATGGTCCTACCCATGACCTTCAATTCCAGCATCAGCCACTCGGGCACGATCTTCCAAATGGCGGAATATCGTTACCAGTACTTAGAAATACATTAACTCTAAATCAATTTCTATTACTTGATTGCTTTTGCTGTATGCTAAGTCAATTATTCGCCAGCTCAGTGGCACAGCTGGACACAGAAATCGAAATAGCATCCCCATTGTCAAATGTAACAAGAAACCGACATGGCTAGAAAGTAATAACCACAAGAGTTGCGCAACAATAGGCTACGGCATGAAAAATACTTTTACGTACCAATAAAAAAAATGTCGAGGTATGCATCAGCGAAAGAGAAACAGTGTAGGGCAAGGCTTGCAGGCAAGTTTTTACTGCCTTCCTTATAAAGCGTCATGATTTGAGCATTAGGTGTGGCATTGAAAGTAGTTACCAGTAAGCATCTAGCACGCTGTTGTTATCCTCTCAAAATTAATCTTTGTCCAATTGCATGCACTTGAGCCAAGTTTGGGGGACTGCCCTGCGAAATCCACCAGCTACCACACGGGACTTGGAATAGTAGTAGTCTTGTAGTTTAAAATGAATTGTACTAGCCAGAAAAATGCGTTTGGTAAAGATCTATATTACTATCTACTTGCACACTGATAATGTAGCATTACCGTCACAGAAAAGGGGGGAGAGTATACACAACGTAGGCAACACTTCAACGCACCTAGTCCTCCTCAATTTCGCCCTCTTCACTACCCGAGTGGATACCTTCGTCAGCCACTACGGCGGGAGGAGGGGGAGTCTTGGGTTTGCGAATCTCGCGTGGCGGAGAGCGTTCACGCGGTGTTCGTTCTCTCTTCAGTCTCTGTCGGGATTATCAGTCATTGTTGCAGGCAAAAACATTGAGGTCTTGCGTACCTTGGAATCTCTCGAATCACGACGATCTGGTTCCTCGTCTTCTTCCCTACGACGACGTGATGACGAAGGACGTTCATCTCCATACGGGAGTTCATCGACTGGTCCACGCTCAACACGTCGTCGATATAGTCGTTCTCTCTCCTCTTCCCTGTCACGCCGCTCTCGGGCATAGTCATCCCGGCGGGAGCGGTAATCACGGTCGCGGTCTCGGTCGCGTTCCCGTTCCCGATCCCGATCCCTGTCTCGCTCCCGGTCGCGATCACGGTCGCGTTCGCGATCCCGGTCTCGTTCTCTCTCCCGGTCGCGGTCACGGCCTTCACGAGTGTCACGATCTCGATGAGAATCCGAGGTGCGGCGGTCAGAAAGTAAGCTCTCAGCCATGCTTGACTTACGGTAGTTCTTCTCCCTTTCGGCAATAGCCTTGCGGCGGTCTGCTTCGTAGGCGTCGGGTTCAGGACTACGACTGTGTCGTGATGGTCGTGCACGATCACTGCGATGAGATCTGTCTCCTCTCTCCTTGTCTCGATACGTACCACGATCAAGAGAGCGATCTCGACGCTTTTGTCGATCTCTGTCTTCCTCCTCACGTTCTCGTACTCGGCGAAGGACCTTTTCAAATGCCCCACGACGGGATTCTTCAGAGGTAACTGCTTGAAATTCAGGAGTTCGCACAAGTCGTGGCCGTACCTTTTCCCATGTGTCATCTGGTAGAATTGGAGGCTCCATATGCTTAATGTAGGAACGTAAATCATCAAAAGCCCGTCGCTGCTGGCGCTCAGATTGCTTGTCGTCCTCGGAGCGTTTGGATTTCTTCTCCTGGAGCTGTTGAGGCATTAGTATCGTATATACCGAGATGAAGGGTTCTGTGGAGCTTACACGATGAAAGATGAGCATTGAAATTTCTCGAGTGATGTTAGCAGTTCGACGATCGTTGTTGACGGCGGATAAGAATTCCTCAAAAGTGGTTTTGGGGGTGAACTCAAAGCGGTTGTCCTGGGAGGCTATTAGTTATATGCGAGAAGTGGGCATTTCGAGATCAATACATACATCCATAACGTCAAGAATGTCATTTCTGGTACCTCGGAGAGCACGTTCTTCTTCTTCAACTACGTCCCAGAAAAGGTCGATTGGGGCCGAACCACTCTGGCCACAAGCCAGCTGATAGCGTTCATCATTTTCGATAAGCGGCAGAACCTGCTTCCATTTGGCGCCAGCCTTGATATGGCCACCTCTTCGAAGCTCCTGGAGAAGGGCAACAAAGTCGTCTCGATGCTTTCGCTCGATACGACGCTTCTTATTCTTCTGATTCTGCCGAGCTTCGTTAAAGTTGCGCTCCAGCGACTTGACGTGGTTTTGGAAAGCCGTAAGGATATCAAAATCACTTAGGGTCTTATACTTCCCGTCATTCTGGAAAGGTGCAGTCGATTTGAGTAGACCTTGAGCTTCCGACCACCGAGTATACGGCTCCAGTTTGAGCTGCGGCAGCAATTCAATTAGACCATCCATGGCGCTCTTACGTAGACTTGCTTGTGTTTCGACATGAGCCTTCTTTAGCTCGTGAATGTAATCTTCAAAGAGCTGCCGGCGCTCGTCGTCGTTGTCCGTTGAGCGAAAAATGGTTTCGCGTTCGATGATGGGTCGCGCTGTTTTCCAGCGGGTGTAGTGCTTGATCTCTGGATGACTCTTCAGCATGGTCGCAAAGTCAGCGCGAAGCTTGGTCATTCTCTCCTTTGCTCGTTCCTTGTCCTGAATGATAACATCTTGGCAGTAATGTTCGAATGCTGCTTTCCTATCCTTTGGGTCCTTGATAGCGCGATACTGAGGGTCCTTGATGGTGGCTCGCATGGCCTGGTCCCAAGTCCAGTCAGATTGTACTCCACTCCGGCGAAGTAGCTTCGTAAAGGCGGCCTCGGCCTCTTCAGCGGTGGCATATTCGGGCTCGTTGCTTGCAGGTACAAAGGACTGTACGCGAGGATCGTTTCCGTAGGTGAGTTGACGAGCTTCGGGGAGCACTTCGCGTTCGCGTGGCTGATCATACGTCGGTGTCATGTACCCAGGGCCAGGCGCAGCGGGGGTTGGGGGACCGCTATCGTGACCGAGAGCGCGCTTATAGGCCTCTGGCATCTCCCAGGAGCTTTGTTTGCTCTCCGTATTATACCAGTACTTGCGTCCGCCCTCGGCAGTATATTCCTTCCACGGCTGGTTGGCGAGGGCGCGCTCGGCGGCCGTCATCATATCCTCTGGCTTCGTCCATTGTGTAACTTTGGTCAGAGTGTTGTAATAGTAGGGTCTTCCATCTGCAGTCTTGTGCTCCTGCCAGGACTGGCCAAGGTGGCCATTGGTTCCATTCATGTTGGGCGGCCGCTTGGTGGGAAATGATGAAAGCAGGTGATGTTGCCCCTGGAGTGTGGTTGGAATAGTTTGTTGCGCGCGACCGCAAGCTGCGAAATTTGTTTGCGTAAAGGCACCTTAGCTCTGGTTGGCTTAAGCTTTTTTAGTTGGCTAAGCAGGTGCGGAAAGGCAGCTCCTAGACAAAGTGACCCGGAGGTGTGGCCTTATTGATACCGTTGAGGCAAGACCCTGAAAATTTACGTATTCCAAGTAGGGATTCTGATCATGCTGGGAGGGATTGCGCTAAACTCGCTCCTATATTCTTCCACCGGGGACACCCTGCTACAGTAGCATTCGGTACGTTTCTGGGCAGCTAACTGCTTCTCTCGCTCTAGCAACGACGGTGAACATGTCATTACACAATATTCACTATACTGCGTTCAAAGTTACTAGGTATGTTTGATGCGATTACTGAAAAGAATCAAACATACCAAGGTTGAATTTTGAGCTGCTTGCGCGTGCTTGCAGCTTCTCCTGCTGTGTACATACTTGGGTAAGGTAATGTATGTCGGCTGGCCCGCACTGTACTCTGTAGCGCCAATTCTAGTTGATACGTGACAAGAATCCATGAATGCGACTGCACGGACAGGGGTGAGGTAGGTGTGTATGCTGCTCATTCAACAACACCATCTTGCGCGACAAGTCCCCTATAGCCACACGTTCTTGGTGTTGCACCAGCGCATTGAGGAAGTTAACACCAAGGAATTGGATCGTAATTGCAGCTTCGACCACACTGCAAATGCCGGATATGTGAGCTTGCGACCTAGAGCAACGTTCCGCGCCAAGTACTTGACCTGCCTTGACCGACCAGCTCGTCTCTACCTTCAACACAGATACAAGTTCGACTGGCCATGCCAACCATGCCGCAGAGCTCTTCCTCGTCCGGTTGGGAGTTTATAGACAACTCAACACTCACGTATTTCATACCACTTGCGACCGACTTCAATGTCGAACAAGTCTTCCGTCCGAATGGCGAGAGCAACACTACCGCCTTGGACTCCATAGAGTATAGGGAGTCGTTATTCTTTGGTATGGCTGATGTCCGACATCCACGAATCAACTTCTCACATTGCTCATCATAGACACCAGATGAATCGGTCGACGTATACCTCGTACTCAAAACACCTGCTGTGGAGGACAAAGTCCTACGATCTTCCCTACGGAGGTTAATCGTATCTCTCGAAGCCAAGATTGTGAACAGTGGTAGTACCGATCGAGACAGCGCGCGGACCTCCGAAATCGTATACAGCGGGACAGTGGAAGAGACACAAGAGCCCATCATCATATCAGAGAACGACAATGATGATGAAGAAGGATACTCTTTTGCTATTTGGAAACTATCCGTCTTCCTTTCGCGGCCTAGAATCAGGCTGCAAAGCCCTTCGGCGGTCTTTGTAGCCAGTGCAGCTTTCAGACCTGCAGAGCTGTCCTTGTCGAGTCAACTGAATGACGGCTATCTTCCAAGTGGTGTTGCCTCGGGCCTCAACTTGCTCGAGTCTCTTGGAAGCGACCCTGCGATGAATGGAATCGAGCCAAGATTATCAGCACTACGTGTCTCCCGCGTGGCCCCGTTGACACCACAAAGCAGAGACCTATCGAAACCCATCAAGTCTTCGCCAAAGCAGCTAGCTTTGCGAGTAGCCCCAGCAGTACATTCTCGCATACGCTTTGCGCGACCAAATACCACACCGCCAAGTCCAACCATCATCGCCATGCTGGAGATAGATTTTACACCATTTTTTGACTGTGAAATGTCCCTTACATCCATCAAGATGTCTGTTGCAGATGGCAGAGTTGAGGACTTGTCTTCGCAACCAGAAATGAGCTTGCCAATGTCGTGTGTGGCTCATGACCACATTACGTTCTTGTACCGCATCGTTCCCGAAGAAATGGAGACGCTGGCCAAGAACCCTACGCGCGACCTAAACATTGCGATAGAAATGACAGCTTTGGAACAGCCCGGCGTGTGCACCCCAAAGCTCACAATGGCATGGACTACGAATGTGGACTTTACTCTGCCTGTAAACCCGGGCTTTGGTTCGGCTCTGCAGCCCATACAGCGCTCACACAGACCGAGCCAGCTCTCCATCAATAGCATGATGTCTCTCGGCTCACCGGCCATTGCGCGACCAGACTCCCTCCCTTCTCTTGAGGCGGCAACGAATAAACCCGACGCCAACCTCCCAGATCTAGGTATCACCGTGACATTTACGGGCCCGCCACCCACGGAGAAGATCTATCCCGGACAAGTTTTCAGTTGGTCAGTTCTGGTGGTGAACCGCTCACCACCAACTTCGCATGCTACAGCGCGAAAGCTAGCCCTGGTTGTAATTCCCAAACGGCGTCGCAATGAAACCCGCGTCAACCGAGCACCGTCTATTTCGCCGGCAGCAGCGGCCACGACTCCTCAACCTCAATCCAAGGCGCCGCATGCCGACCGAGAGGTGGCCGATGCCGTTCTCGATGATCACATTATCCACTCCATTCAGAGAAGTAGCGTGGTAGATAGCACCGAGGTCGTATCTCTGAGCGCCGACGTGCGTGTTGGACCACTGGCACCTGGCTCGTGCCACGTTGTCGAGCTCCGGTTCATGGCTGTGAAGACGGGCATCCTCGGCATCGAAGCCGTGCGGGTCGTTGACCTCAACAGTGGAGAACATGTAGATATTCGCGAGGTACCCTCCATTATCGTAGACTCTCCCGAAGCTCAATCCGTTGCTAGCAAGGACTTGGAGCTAGAAACAAGCAGTGAGCGCCTGGTTACTGCAGAGGCCTGAAAAGGTCATCGACGAGAAGGATGAGATCATTCTACAGATAGCCATATAGTAATGCAATATGATCATTTTCAAGCAAGTGCACATTTCCACCCAGTGAGACTCGAGGCCAATATTTCATATCAACCAGGCCTCGGGCCACATGTTCTAAGCAGCGCTATTCACAACTCGAACCAAAGGCACAAAGCACCGCTTCGTAGTGAGAATATAGATAATATTGTATACCTAGTAAGTACTTGTGTATTCCACTCGTGTTGTCGTACTCTGTACGACAAACGCAACCTTCCTGCGACGAGAGAAGATGATGCAATAGTAATTGAAAAGACGTATGTACATTACAAATAGACACATTCGTTCCTTCGACATGTCCAGCTGAGATAGAAACCAGCCTTTTTTGTTTTTCTTTTCGGGAGCCCACTTTATCCTGTGAAACCATCCAAGGTTTCCTAAATCCAACAGCGATCAAAGGAGTGAATCCGGTAAGGGGTAGTCGCATTATCATGGTCCATTTTGTCATGGGATTTTTTTTCTTTTTTTACTCATCGGCCTTGCCTTGGCTGCGAGTCTTCCTGGCGGTCTTGCCTACGGGGGCGGGCTCCTTCTTTTCCTTCTTGGGACGCCCAACCTTTTTGATAGTGTTGCTCACCTTGTCGGCAACTCTCTTGATGGGTGACTCTTTTTGCTTCTTCGCGGCAGGTGCCTGCTGCTCGGCTGCCTCGTCGCCATTGACCGCAGCAGCGGCAGGTTCCTCGGCCTTGCGCTTCTGTCCCGACTTGGGCTTCTCCGCAACGAGCTCGCTGACGGCGGGCACCGCTTCGGGCTGAGAGGGCCCGGTGGTTACTGTGGGCTGCGCGTCGGTCACTTCGGCGTCCTTCTTCTCCTCAGAAACCGCCGTGGCTGCGGGTTCTTTGGTAGGCTCTGGGCTGACTACATCTTCCGCAGCCTTGAGCTTGGTGGTTGGTCCCTCCGGATCGGGCACTTCCTCTAGGGAGACTGGCTTGGGGGGTTCATTGGATAGCTCCTCATTCGTAGAAGCTGCAGCAGCACTGGGCTTTGCATTGATTGGCGCAGAGCTGGTCAGGTTGTCGCTGGGCTTTTCCGGCTGTGCAGCCAATTGATCGGCCTCGGCCTCTGCTGCCTTTACAGAGTCTGTGCCTGCTCCTGCTGTCTTGTTAGTCTCCATCACCTGTGCGCATTGCGGCGTAACAAGACTCCTGTGCATGGTTCGAAGCTAGACAGTATCACATTGATGCTGATTCCGGATGCGCCAACCCTCCCACAGTGAAAGAGACTTGCGCAGATGCATTGATGGCAAGTTCCCAACCGTACAAGATTATGAACCTTAGGCTTTTGCTGCTTAACTTACCTGGTGCGGTAGTTGCTCCATTCACTGGTACTGCGGTCTCTGATTCTCCAAGACCTTTTGAAGGCTCGGTTTCGGATGTAGAAGCCGGTACTGGCACTGATGATGTCTCATTTGTCTTGGCAGGTTCATCCGCCGAAGCAGGAAGTGTAGAAGTTGGGTTGGCGCTCTTCACTTCTTGTGTTTCTGGAGGAGTTGGCGGCGCATTACCACCAATGGTGCTGGCGGGCTTGTTGGCGACTATACGAATGCATTGGCGTTAGCGCATCCTGTCGCGCAGACGGCGCATATGGAGCATTGCTACATTGGGAGCAGACGATTAGACAATGGCCACTTGGCTGCCTAGCAATCCGGTCACATCTACTATGCGACGATGAAAAGCTGGAATAACTGCGCGCGCGCGGAGGATTGTTTGGGTGCGCATGTTGGCGTACCTGGGTTGGCGCTCTGAGTCGCGAGGTCGGCCATTGCGATGACGTAAGGGGTTAGTCTGGTGAAGCTCTATAAAGTGTTATGCGCCGGGCGGTTTTGCACGCGGAATAATACGAGACGGTCGCCGGCAAATATGTCGTCGAGTAAGACGGGGTTGCAACAGTGAGGTCGAGAGCTTGCAATTTGCTCGATGGGAAGTCGTAAGACTTGCTATAGGCGGCGGCCACACACGTGGAAAGAGAAAAGGATATGTCAAAAGGAGCAACAAGATGAGAGGTTGGGAGGTGGTAGAGTGTGTACCTTGGATGTAAGTGAAGTGAAGTAAGGTGAGGTGAGGTAGGGTTGGATAAGCTGCAAGCACGGTAGAAGCTCAAACAAATTAGAGTCAAGGCGGATCGGGAAAACAATGAACAAGAAGCTTTAGAGACTGGAGTCGTGTACACATTTACCTACGTAAGTGTGTAGAACAGACAGAAGTAAGAAGTACGGAGTACTTTGGTTACATCAGAGACGCACAGCTGCACGCAACCTACCTATTGCTACTGGGAGCCCAGAGGAGGTATCCATCCGTCACAAATTGCCTTGCCTGCCTACCCCCAGTTTCCCTCGTGGAAAAGTGACTAAAACCTAGGTACCAAGCCTACCGATTGCCGCAAGGAAGGGAAGGAAGCAATATGTGTGTGCGTGTGTGAGTGAGAGTGTGTGTGTGCGCGCAGGATCAATCTCCGCAGATTTCTGTTGTCCGTGTTTCTACTTGAGCTTGGACTGGATCGGGGAAACAGTGAGAGGGGAAAAGCGCCGGCGCACGCGGGTGAGAAAGAGACTGCATGTGGTTCAGCTTTGTTAAACTTGGATCAGCGACAGATCGAGGATCAAGCCTCCAGCCGAAGGAAGCCACTCGCCAGCCCGGCATAATGCTTGAGAATGCAGCTCCATTGGCGAGTCGTCGAGTTTCTGACAATACCTAGCAATAGGCTAGACGAGGTACAGGTACGTGCCAGGCTTGTGACATAGCAGATCCTCTCTGACTGGTTTCTGTGTCTTGTCTATGCTTGTCTAGATCTGAGAGGCGCACTGAACCGAGTCGAATTGGATCGAACCTGCTGCCAAATTCTTTGGCCCAGTGCTGTTGTGCTCTCGTATTTTGCATCTCTTGGGGGGTTCCACAGCACAACAGAAAACACCACACATCAACCAGCTTCGGAGCATTGCAAGTAGGTATCCCACGATGACGTGCATTTGTTTGTTTGCGCAAAGCAGGAACAGTAATAGTAGTGATACCAAACTGATTCTGGAATGTTATTGTGATTACCTACCTACATCAAACGACTGTATCATTTGCTGCAGGACGCATCGACCGACAGCCTCCAGTAGGTAAATAAGCAGACTGTTGAATCTCATCTTCGATAGCCGGGGGCCTGGCTGGCAGTTCGGAACTGATCTTCCTACAAATCTTTCGTCTCGACTCAAACCTCTCAATGGCTTTGTGGGGAAAATAGCGGGGATGTATTAGCTGACTGCTGAATGACGAAATCTGCACGGACCAGTCAGCGAAAAGAGGAGCCAAGCCAGATGCAGGTCCGTCCCTTCGGGGCCGTCCTCGGAACCAGTATGATTTCTGCGTCTCTTTTCCAGTGGCTGGCCGCTACCAGCTGGTAGGTTGATTTTCAACTACCGCTCTTCGATCGTTTCTTGATTGACGAGTATATTATATGAATATATTATATGAATGTTGTTGCTTATTGCAGCAGCAGCACATGTAGCGAAACCGCCATTTACAGTAGGCGATCTTCCTCTTCTTGACCCCCAAGTGTCAGATTCACTAGGCCAGCTCTATTGCAGCGCTCAATCCGCTCTGCTGCGACAACACGAATGGCCTGATAGGGCGGCGGCGGCCCCCCGCACGCCATTAAAAGGTTATCAGAGCAAATGCTGAGCCAGCCACAAAGCTTTCTCTAATGGCCAGACTTGGTGTCTCCCAAAGCAGGTCTCGGCCGTGTGTGATCAGTCTAGCATCTGGGAACATGCTCGGCACTCACGTCTCAATGAGTGGCCAGGAATCGAAGCAAATGATTTCCCTCTGCAACAGTCCTTCGCTTCTATCCGCCTCATGGGAAAAAACGTCATTCCTTTTGCTAAGCAAGAAACAGCTTTATTGATATCGAGCCTCTCAGCCTCGTAGAGACGGAGATGCCGAATTCCGTCCGCCAAGTTCTTGGATTGCAGATAGGAAGCTTGCCACGTGACTTGGCGGCCGGAAGCGGCTCTGTGAGTGGACAAGACCGGGCCCGACGCATACGCTGCTTCGGGGCCAAGATGACGGATGGACTGATGATGCGAAGCATCACATTTATATGACCAAAGTGGTGGGAAACCAAAAGTCTTGGAGTGGCTTCTGCCAATGTTGTGACAATCTGTAATACCAATCAGCAGTCGCCTCCCGACCGTTTGGTTCTACTAGGACCATGTCAAGCCCATGCTGCCGTGGCCTGAGGTCATGTTATAGAGTTCTTGGGTTTTTGGCACCAAGGTGCTAGATTCATGACTTGATGCTGGGCATCTCCACGGGCTGTCAATGTTTCCATGATGTTGCAAGTATATAAGTTGGGTACCTGCCCGAATGTTGTCAAAGAAAATATTCTAGAAATCAAACGTCCTGACGACGAATGTCTCGGTCACATTCCATGAGCTACCAACCACAGATTTGCCAAGTATTCTCTCTGCAACCCGGCTGATCATTATTGCTCATATCTCAACTTCATGGAAGTGTACACAATCTCTCGACTCTCCGCGGCGACTCCACTAGTGCTTTACAATGGCCGGGGAATTTGAAAAACATCCCTTCCTTCTACCAGTCCAAGATGTCGCCAAACAATTTGACACGGACATGGAAAGGGGTCTGACGTCTGCACAAGTTGCCCAACTACAGGAAAAATTCCCACCGAATGAGCTCGACGTTGGTGGTGCCATCCCTTGGTACACCATTTTTTTGCGACAACTTCTTAATGCCATGATCCTGGTAAGTTCTGAGCATCTCATCTTGGAGAGACGAATGCAATAATACTAAGAAAACAGGTTCTCTTCTTCGCAATGGGATTGAGTTTTGGTGTCCAGGACTATGTTGAAGGTGGCGTCCTTGCCGCTGTCATCTTTCTCAATGTCTCTGTTGGTTTCTACCAAGAATATGGCGCTGAGAAGAAAATGGAGGCTCTGAGAGCGCTGTCATCCCCTAGCGCACATGTTTTGCGTGATGGCAAGACTCAAGTCATCCCCAAGTAAGTTGCCCTGGTACTGGTAGTTTCGACACAGTCTGCTGATGCCTTGATATAGCTCGGAAGTTGTCCCTGGAGATATTGTCCTCCTGAAAATGGGCGACACTATTCCAGCCGATCTCCGTCTTTTTGAAGTGATGAATCTAACATCAGACGAACAATCCTTGACCGGCGAATCTGTGCCGGTCGAGAAGATCGAGCAGCATCTGGAGTCCGAGGAACTAGGCATTGGCGATCGAATCAATATTGCATATGGAACCACCGTCGTTCGCAAAGGCCGTGGTCGTGGCATCGTGATCGCAACTGGTATGCAAACCGAGGTTGGCAAGATTGCTGCCTCCACGACCAAGAAGAACAGAAAAGCCGGTCGTTCCATGAATTACAAGAAATATGGAAAGCGTCAACCTGTTGTCGGATTGACTAAGCGCATCTGGGACTTTGTGGGCAAGTTCTTGTGAGTGTTTCGAATCAATATTCTTTTCCCCATCATCAAACTTATACGGCTAACCCGGCGCTTTAGGGGCCTGACTGAAGGTACACCACTACAGATCAAATTGTCCAAGCTAGCCTACATTTTATTCGGCTGTGCACTCGTTTTGGCAGTTATTGTGTTTGGCGTCAATAAGTTCAATGTACCCAAAGAGGTCATCATTTACGCAATTTCCACTGGCATCGCCATTATACCCGAATCCCTAGTGGCTGTTTTGACAATAACAATGGTCGTGGCTACCACAGTCATGAGAAAAGCCAATGTTGTCGTGCGAGATCTTTCAGCGCTCGAGGCACTCGGTGGAGTCACCAACATCTGCTCCGACAAGACGGGAACGCTCACGCAAGGCGCCATGATTGTGAAGAAGGTCTGGATTCCACGCAAAAAGGTCTATACTGTTCACGATTCCAAGGACCCCAGCAATCCTACTATTGGCCGCGTCACCTGGGCTGAGGCGGATGAGAACAAGCCTGGTGCCGATCCAGAGAAGCGTGACTTTGACCAAGAGCGAAGTGCTACTGCGCTCAAGTTTGATGTCCCCGACGAGAAAGCCAACTTTAGATCAACCAAGAAGAACGAGGCTGAGGCATCCATGACCGCTGAGCTCGAAGCATTCCTTCTTTCTGCCGCTCTATGCAACTTGGCTACCGTCCGCCAAGAGACAGAAGCCAATGCTGATGAACGCAAGTGGAAGACAACAGGCGAGCCCACTGAGATTGCCTTGCAAGTTTTCGCGCATCGGTTCAACAAGGGCAAGAAGACCCTAGAGGGTGAGGGCGGCTGGAAGCAGGTCGCCGAATTTCCATTCGACAGCTCCATCAAACGTATGTCGGTGATTTACAATCATCCGGACATCGATCACAGTATGGTTTTCACAAAGGGCGCTGTCGAGCGGGTCCTGGACTTGTGTACAAGTGCTGGCGTTGGAGACTACGCCGAGGAAATGACTGACTCGTACAAGGAACTCATCCTCAAGCAAATGGATGATTTTGCTTCTCAAGGGCAGCGTGTGCTTGCCATTGCCTCGCGGCCGTGGCATGGCCACTACGATGAAAAGTCCTCCTCCGAAGGCCACGACGAGGATGATGCGCTACGAAAGTCAGTCGAGTCGGGCCTCACTCTCGTTGGGCTGGCAGGCATCTACGACCCTCCTCGTCGCGAAACCACCCCTGCGATTGCTGAATGCTCCACGGCGGGTATCAAGGTTCACATGCTCACCGGCGACCACCCAGCGACCGCAACAGCCATTGCCAAGGAGGTTGGAATCTTGCCGCACAATATGGGAATCTTCCCAGCCGACGTTGCCGATTCCGTCATCCAAAAGGCCTCCGACTTTGACAAGCTCTCAGATGCCGAGATCGATGCCCTGCCCGAACTTCCCTTGGTTCTAGCCCGCTGTGCTCCCGACACAAAGACGCGGATGATTGAGGCGCTCCGTCGCCGAAATGCCTTCATGGCCATGACTGGTGACGGCGTGAACGACGCACCATCGCTATCTCGTGCCGATGTCGGCATCGCCATGGGCTCCGGGTCCGACGTAGCCAAGTCGGCAGCCAAGATTGTGCTGACGGACGACAAGTTCAACTCGATCGTGGCCGCCATTCGGGAGGGGCGGCGCATGTTTGACAATATCCAAAAGTTCATCCTGCACCTTCTCACTTCCAACGTCGGCGAGGTCATTCTGCTCATCTGTGGACTGGCGTTCCGAGACAGCACGGGATACTCGGTCTTCCCAATCTCTCCTTTGGAGATTCTCTGGATCAACATGCTCACTTCCTCCTTCCCGGCCTTTGGGCTCGGACGTGAGCAAGCTTCGCCAATGGTGATGCGCAAGCCTCCGCACGACAAGAAGCGCGGCGTCTTTACTAACCAGATTCTGGTCGACATGATCGTCTACGGGCTGTTGATGGGCATCTTGACCTTGATGTCCTTTGTGGTTGTAGTATATGGCGCCAATGGTGGCAATCTCGGACACGACTGCAATGGCGCCTTTTCCGACGCCTGCATCCCCGTCTTTCGCGCCCGTGCTACGGTGTTTGCCGAGCTCACCTGGCTGATTCTGATTAGTGCCTGGGAATTCAAGGACCTCCGGCGCTCCATGTTCAAGCTCAATCCTGATTCTGACTCCAAGTTTCCCTTCTTCAAGGATATTTACGGAAACAAGTTTCTATTCTGGGCCGTCGTGATTGGCGGTGTCTCGGTCTTTCCAGTCGTCTACATTCCCGTGGTCAACACCAACGTCTTCAAGCATACCGCTATTTCGTGGGAGTGGGCGATTGTCGTGGCCGCGCTATTCTTGTTCGTAGCTGGCGTTGAGTTGTGGAAGATGACCAAGCGTGTCTTTGGCCTGTTGGAGGACAAGGCCGTGGTCAAGGGTGCCTTTAGCCAGGGAGAGACGGAGGGTCGTCGGTTCACACACACTATGAGTTTCAGCAGTTTAAAGAGCTGGCGCAGCTTTGGAAAGAAGAATACGAGTGACTCTAGGATCAACAACGTCTCTCGAAGTGTCTCGAAGAGCAGGATGTAATTGCAGCATGATAAAGTATATGGTATTTCAGCAAAGAACAAGGGCTTGTGTTTAGGAATAATGATATATGGAGAATCTACTTTCAGATCTAAATGGCTTGGTCTAGGTATTTGATATTATACAGATAATGATCAATATGCAGTGCGTTTTCTCGATTCCTTGCCGTGTTGACTCTATTTCCAGAAAATCTTCCCTTCCATCAGCCGCCTTGCAGTACGAAATACGGTGGCAACTTCGAGGTCTCCGTCTTGGTCGTACTTGGCATCCACCTTTATAGTGCCACTCGCATGATTAATGACGAGGCCATCACCACCATGTTGTACGCATTGATATACCGTACTGCCTGGCAGCTTGGCAGCCGCCGCCGCAGCCAAGGCCACAGTGACGGGTATCGCCTTGTGCGGCTGGCCGACCGACAGCGCCCGCGCCGTCAAACCTTCCTCGGCGGGAGACACCATGGTGATCTTGGGGACGCTACCAGGTACCTCCTCCGGCGACGGCGCGAGACCCATCAAGACGCCGGCCTGGCGGCGAATCTTGTCGAGCGTTGCGAGCAGCGTCGGGTGGTCGTCGATTTGCTGCGGCGTTAAGTCGCCCGGGACCCCGAGGTCTGACGCGAGCACGAAGCAGGCAGGATTGGCAACGTCGATGCACGTCGTGGCGACGCCTCCGATGAGATCGGTCGCGGTGCCCGACGGCAGCAGCTTGCCGGTCCGGGACCCGGCCGGGCGGACAAATTCTAGCCGTACGGGCGCCGCAGTTCCGGCAACACCGTCAATCGCCAAGTCACCGTGGGCAGCGGCCTCGCCCTCTACAACGGGGAAGACGGCGTGAATGATCTTGCCCGTGTTGGTGTTGTGGATGCGGACCGTGACATCGCAGGGCACCGCAGTCACAGGCACCTCAACCAGGCCCGCGTCGACGGCAAAGGGTCCCACTGCCGCCGACATGTTGCCGCAGTTGCTCGAGTAGTCGACATGGTCGTCGCGGACGCCAAGCGACACAAAGGTGTAGTCAACGTCGGCGGTGTCATTCGTCAACTGCGACCGCCCAACCACGCACACCTTGGACAGGCTCGAGATACCACCGCCCATGCCATCGAGCTGTCGCCCGCTCTGTGCGTCTGGGCTTCCGATCACGCCTAGAAAGGGTGCCCGCCAGGCTTCTCTATCTGCCGGTAGGTCGTCCGCCTTGAACATAACGGCGCGCGAAGTCCCGCCGCGGTAATAGGCTGCTGGCAGAGAGTGCTGCTTGCGCGCTGTGTGATTCGAGCGACAGGGCATGACCGGCCTCGCAATCGCATGCCCAGTGACCTTCCGGCCAAGATGCCGAGCTCCATGCTGTTGGGAAATGAAAATGTGCCGCAGGCTGGATATACCGGCTGTGCAGACAGCAGGGAAATGGCAACGAACCATTGTACTGCTCTAGGATTGTTACATCAAAAATGGCTTATCGCCCATCATGGACAGAATGTGGTCATTTCTCTGTTTGTTAGTAAAGAGACAAAAGGTGCTGAAACCATGTCCAAGATCGACCATCTTGGAGCCGGGGCCGGTTAGTCTAGCCGATCTGGCCCCGCATTGTTCTCCGACCAGATACCTATACCCAGAAGCAGGGGATGTGAATTTGCAGTGGTTCATGATGAAATTTTCTAGAAATGCGATTTAATTCTTAGTGTCCCACGACGATATGTGTAGATGATTCTGTGATGGAGAAAATGCGAAAGTCAGCCTGCCAGAACACCATCATCAGCTCTAGATGGCGTCTATTGTCAATTTGTCAACGACTCTCATGTAAATCCGGGTAACACTCACATAATTCCAAATTTGTTTATACTACTGCGTCAGGACTTCGAGTACGATCTTCTCTGGTATGCTGAAATCGAGCGTGACTGTGAGGGCACACCACACATGAGAGGTAGTCTTGAATCTTGATGCATCCTGCGCTAGGTGTGGAGATTGATGATCCTGTTTTCGGCCGAAATTGAGGAGGCAAATGTAAGAAAGACGGCCGTGGATGAGGCTGTGATAAGTCATTTACTCCCTCCATTTAAAGACTTTTCCGCCTTCCGGTCGAGGGCATGTCCTGACTGGGCAATACTATGTTGTTTCATGCCACTACGAAGCTGTCGAAACATGCTAAGACTCGAGAGACCTCCTAGTACAGATGGCGGCAACAGTGAGGACCTGAAGCGCTTGAAGAATTTGAGTTTTCGATTTCTACTTGCTTGATGGATACGTCGTGGATTATTGAAGGGGCTCGTACGGGTCGTCTCTATGGCACTTCGAGCTCTACAAGAGTATACTCATGTAACATGGTTCATCATAGTTGGCAGGTGCGAATCGGCAAAACGGTCTCTAGACAGACCTGCAATGTGGTTACGAGATTGCGGAATGAGCTAAGCCGTTGCAGTAATGTAAGAAAAATTCTTCTCAACAATCATGTTAGCGGCTAGGATGAGCTACAAATCGGCTCACTCGATGAGTGATGCAACAGCACCGAAATGGGAGACTATCAATCTAAAACAGATACATTGTGTACAGAACGGGGCTTTTATCTACATCTATCCTCTATTCAAACTCCAAATATGACTCGATAAGATCGTTTGCGTTTTTTCTTTAGTATCTCAAGTGGTAGACTAAAGGCTTCTTGTGACTAAGGGGGACGTCCAGCGCCCAATAGCTCGACTCTGATACTTGGATTTGGGTAACTGGGCAATGACCCCGCATCCCTATGCGTGTATAT